AACCATACCAGTTTTATTTCAGCACTAACCACAACACTATGGTATGGTGGAATTGTTTCCACAGGGTCATCATCCTGATAGGCAAAACAGACCTGCACAACATAATTATTTGTATTTTATTTATCCATTCTTTAATTTAATTTAATTAATTTATATGCCACCTATCTCATTCTGAAAAACAACTCTAGGCACCATATACACTGCTCAAAAAAATAAAGGGAACACAAGCAGAAGACATTCGAGATCTGAATGAATGAAATAGCCTTATTAAATACTTTGTTCGTTACATACAGTAGTTTTGTGTTCCCTTTAGTTGTTTGAGCAGTGTATAAACTACTGTATGTAAAGAACAAGGTATTTAATAAGGCTATTTCATTCATTCAGATCTCGGATGTCTTCTGCTTGCGTTCCCTTTATTTTTTTGAGCAGTATATTTTAGTTCTATCTCTGTTAACTAACAGTGACACAACTGATCTTCTTAACATTTCCTTTTTTTGTTGTTTGTGATTGCACAGGAGACAACAAACTCTCAGTTTGATCCTTTGCTTACAATGGACCCTAAACTGCTGACAATGGGAGAAGAAACTATTTTCTAAAACAAGTCAGCAGTTATAATTTAGGAAGCAGAATTGCTGAATAGAAATATATAGACATTTCTCTTCACTGCCCAAGGTCACCAAATCAGCTGCAATTCTAGGAGGGGAGCCTAAAGTAGAGATCTGATTTCCAGGGCCAAATGCTGCTAAGTAGCATTTCTTTTCATTCATACAGTTCATACTGTATATCAATGGAATACATAAGTGACTTGATAAAAAGAAGTGTCCCTGAAATAAACTTCTAAGGAAACTAGAGATAGAATGAATATCTTTTTCTTTTAGAACAGGAACAGAAGAGAATAACAGAGTTGGAAGGGACCTTGGAAGTATTCCAGTCCAAGTATTCCAGTATCCCCTGTTCAAGCAGGAGCGCTATATCATTTCAGACAAATAGCTGTCCAGTCTCTTCTTGGATTAAGGTTGTCAGTTCCAGCAATATTTAGTTTTTTATTCCATCTGTCTTAAATATTGGGACTTCAGAATTAGATTAACATAGTATTTGTGTATTAGTATGTTAGCTTTTATACTCTTCTTGATCTAAAAGCAAGATTTCACCAATGCATCTTTCCTTACCCTTTCTATAAAATTTATATCCAGCACTGACAACATTCCGTTTATTATCTCCATTCTACCAGGTTTCTATTATATCATTTATTCCATTTTTCATCAATTCCATTTATTAATTGTATTTCTAAGTCTACCCACTTGACAAGTGACTCTGGACAACTTAAACATTCACACACACCAAAACAAAACATTTAGCAGATTTATGTATCTTCCTGATTCAGTACCTGCAGAAAGAGTCAAGTTTTTAAGTCTGCCTAAAAGACAATAGTGCTGGTGCTGTAGGTACTAACACATTTGTCTGCAACTCAGTACACTAATTCTTCCAATTGCTAGTATTGTTTGAAAAACTACTATATACCTCACATTACTTTTCAAATGTTGCTGGCATTCGTTTGTTGTTGTTGTTGTTGTTGTTGTTGTTTCCTGACTATCTTGTCCAGTAAGTGATCCACTTCAAAAACATACAGTATATTTTCTCATAGACAATTCAAAAATGCAGAACATAACACCAAGGACAAGGAACTATGTTTATTGCAGTGATCCTTGGGTGCCTGGTTTACAAGAAACAATGAACAAGGGAAAGCAAAAGACTTTTTATAGAAGTTGGGGATTACAAGATAGGAAATCCTAGGAACTTTGGAGGAAAGCTAGGCAGGTCCTTGTTAGTGTACCTTGAGTATTTCTATTGTTGGCAAAGCAGCCCTTTCAGGACCCCAATGTTGAAGTCTTCAGCTGACGGAAGACAGAACCTTGGGGCTTTTCTAGATTGCAATTCTTTTGTAAAAGCTGCCCTTGGACTGTAACCTAATAAACTGCTTTTAAATGATCTTCCAACTCAGTTGCTTATTGGGAAGGTAATATAGGGACAGATTTGGCTATCAGATGACATGGGGACTTTGTCTCAGGCAGACCATGTCAGTTTAGGATGGGATTAGGTGAAGAGAGGAACTGAAATTAACCCTGGCCACATCTAAAAGACAAGCAGGAAAAGGGTGCAGGCTCTATTTTATTTCCTACATGTTATTTTCTCCACAACATATCTCACATTATTCTCTGAAATATACGTACCCTTTGATTTGCAAAGCCGTTCTGCCATTTATAAAGCCTAATACAATTTCAGTCAAAATGAAAACCATCTTTCACAAACAGATTCAGATTGCTGCAAAACATTTTCCAAAGTCTAATAAATCTAAACTCTTCCACCAATTCCCCTGTGCCTCCCAAACTGACCTAAATTTGGAACAGGAATACCGTAGCTAGTTCTATATTGGTATCTGTGCAATAAGCAGGAAAACACCATATTCTCTGTTGGCTTTCACAATTAGTTTCCCCCCCACACTTTTTTTGCTTTAGAAAATGTTTGACCTAAAAGATAGTTTCTATGTAATGCTTCTATAAAGTTTGGTGTCCTGACTCCCTCACAGTTGCTAAACATACCTTGACACTTAAGTCTTTTCTGGGTAGGATGTCAATGGTAGTCAGAAGTCTCTCCTGATCTTCACTGTAGTCAGAGATTCCAGATTACTTCTCTTTTCAAAGAATGTTAGCTGGGATCAAGCTGTTGACTAAGAAATGCCACACTATCCACAGTTGATCACCTGAACAATCAGTCAGCTGCTGCCATAAGCCTCTCCCTCTCAAGCTATGAGCTCACAAAGTAAGCAAAGATGCCACATGAAAACCACATAGCCTCACCCAGTTAGCCAACAAGATTTCTTAAATGCAGTGTATTCCGGCTCCCTCCCAAAACTTCCCTGTTCCAATTTGCTCACTCTTAATCCTAAAAGTTTAAGGCACTAATTTTGCACCATAGTCCACATTAATACATTTGGATCCTCTCAGGGTATTCTGGAAATTGCATATGGCCAATTGATTTCCCACTCCAAGTTAAGATGTTATGTGAGCCAAATGAATGATGGTTAATTCTGTAAAGCATACTAAATAACACAATTATATGCTGTATTTCCTTTTTTTTTAAACAAACTTTATTAGATTTAAAAAAAATAAAGTTGTATAAAACATTCACAACCTTAAAATACAATAAATACAAAAACAAAAGGAAAATAAGTTTTTATATATATGTGTACTTATATACATTATATATACTTTGTTTGTTGTTTGTTAATACTGTTGTTTGTATTTTAAGGTATATGCTGTATTTCCAATCTTCCACCATTCAGCATCACTGAAAGACTCCAGTTTTTTTCTGTTGGGAAGCATCTAACCTGGCATAGAGGAGGGCTCAAGCAGTTAGCCTGGAATCACTGTGCAAATGCAAAAGGATTAGAAATGACCCCTGGTGGGTTCCCTGAAGCCTTATCTGTTTCCAAGGGAAGGCTGCCAATTTTGATAGATTCCTGTATTATTGGCAGAACATAATAAAGTAGCTTGAACTCTGCATGTGTGGGTCTGGTTGCTCATGCCTGTCAGTTTCATAGATTAAACAAGTCTATCTGTCTGGAACCAAACATACATCTTCTCCATAGCAGCACTTGCCCTCTAGAATTAAAACTAAAATCTGAACAGCTCCTACCCTATTGGTATTTTGAAGCACCCTAAAGAGCCTGACTCTTTGCTCAAGCCTTTGGCAATGATGACAATGTCCCCCTTTCTTCCTTTTTGCTCCTCTCCAAGTTTTGTTTTGTTTGCATTGTCTTTTGGGTTGGCTTTGGTTTGTTTGTTGTTGTTTTGCGTTTTGTTTAATCTCAAATGTTTTTAACATTGTAAACCAACCAGAGTCACTAGAAATCTGACAACATATACATTTAATAAAGACACTATATCTTTCCTCTCTGCCATCCATAATTTTATCAATTATCTATGATATGCCTCCTTGTTTTTTTCCCTAAGCTAAGAAAAAGTACTGCAGTCTTCTGAAGAATTCTTGCTGTTGCTGATTTGATAAGCTATAATTCCTCACCTTTATTTTCTTTCTCCCTTTCTATCACCCACTGGGAAGGCAATAATAGTTGATGTACTACTCACTTGTTTGTTCTCTATAAACAAATCTGATTAAATAAAGCTTCTATTTTTCAAATTAACCTATTCACTGGCCTTACTCATATGTAGGGAAAGCATTTTGTCTGCGAAGCTCACACCTTTTATTTTCAGCAAGGCTGCTACATCATGTCCCATTCCTATCTCTTCCCAGACCGGTCTCACCATGCACTTGGCATTTCCTTTCCATCTCCAAAAGAGAGTTTCAGTGCGAGCTACAGAATAATTTCAATAATGAAAAAAAAATACTGTTTTATAACACCAATAGAATCTTAAGGTTTGAGAATCACCAAGTGTAAGCAGAAAGGTGATACCCCTGGGCAGGGGTGAATTCCAGCAGGTTCTGACAGGTTCTGGAGAACCAGTAGCGGAAATTTTGAGTAGTTCAGAGAACCGGCAAATACCGTTTCTGACTGGCTCCAGAGTACGGTGGGAATGGAGATTTTGCAATATCCTTCCCCCAGGAGTGGGAAGGGAATGGGAATTTTGCAGTATCCTTCCCCTGGATGTGGTGGAAATGGAGATTTTGCAGTATCCTTCCCCTGCCACGCCCACCAAGCCACGCCCACAGAACAGGTAGTAAAAAAAATTTGGATTTCACCACTGCCCTTGGGGTATCAATTGCTTGTTTCCCATCTCTAACCATTTTATGCCCTAGGAAAGGGAGGCAGGAGAGAATCTGGGATCCGGGAGAGAGCGAGTAGCAATGAAAGCGGGAAAGAAAAAAGAAAAGAAAAAAGAAAAAAAGCCCTATGACCAAGCCACACAATCGCCAAATAATTTCTGAGACCAGGCGCAAAAACAGACAACTTATTTGCGCGCCGACTACAATGGAAGGACCCCGCCTGCCTCTCTCGGCCATTCAGCGTCACGCGCCGGCCGGGAAAGAAAGCCCTCATCCTCCTTGTTTTTCCTATCCCACCTTTTGTTTTTTTTTTGGTTCTTTTGTTTGCTCATCCTTTTCCCTCTCAGCGAGGGAGTCGCTGCAATGCCGCTTTACGAGGGTCTCGGCAGCGGCGGGGAAAAAACCGCCGTGGTGATCGATCTGGGCGCGGCCTTCACCAAGTAAGATAGTTCCCTTCCTTTTTTTTTTTTCTTTCTTTCTGCCAAATCACCTTAGCCCAGCTTTTTGTGACTGTGCACCTGTGTTCTCTCTCGCCGTCGTATTTTATCTATCAGTTGGTTTTATATCGCATTGCTATGCACTCTTTTTGCTCCCATTGCGCGTTGCAATTGTATTCCGCCGCCACCATCGCCTCATTTTTTTCCCAAGTGGTTGAATGAAAGGATAGGTTTACTCATTACTGATCTGGGTCCTTAATCCTGCTTCATAGAATAAATAAGTGCAGATTGCATTCCCAGAATCGTTGACCATAAACTCCTCCTTTCTATCCATAATAGCTGTTTTGCATATGTTAGCCCAAAATCTGATGAACCCTTATGCTGCAATGCAAGAACTTAGCTTGAGAGTTCATGACTTAAGACTAGCTGGGGTTGCCTTTGTACAATGTGTTTACAGTTAATTGAAACACAATTTATTGAATTAATTTATTTGCTGAATTTCCAAAACCACAGCTATCAATCATAATAGTTGGGTGCTTTAAGTTACATTACCCTAGCTAACCACCATATTTAGTCTAGGGGCAAACCCAGCCACAGAGTTCTAGTGTTGAAACTTGTACTTATTAATTGACCAGGGATTGATTGACCATCTTGCCTGATTCTGCTCAGAAATATTCCAGATTGAGACACATTGCTTATGCAATGTGGTGCACGATGAAGTGTGGTGCTCTCTGAACTTGATTGTTTTCTTCCAGATGTTTTATTACTAATCTAGGTAACATCATCAATGCACTTATGTATTGGTACACTATAAAATGCATACTATTATAAAAGAGAAGGGACAGAGAAAAGAGAACTGAGTTCCTGTTATCTGACTAAGTTGTGTGTAAAGAATCTGGGTTTAAAATTCTATTTGTCATGTGTCATGTAAAGCAGACATACTGTGATTGGATTGCATAAGCTATGGTTTGTGGGAAAATGTAGTACTGCAGATTCATACAATTTGAAGCTATATCATGGCTTAAAATGACTGAAGTTATACATCGCATTAACTAATGTGAGTGTTTGGTTTTGTACACGGGTGTCAAACTCGCAGTGTCACGTTGCCATCACGTAGCATGGTATTTTTCCCCTTCACGGAACTGAGGTAGGCGTGGCCTGCACGTGATGCATCCGGCCCGCAGGCCACCAGTTTGACACCCCTGGTAGTATGAAATGTAAACCCAGCCACTTACCATGTTAACAGAATACTAAGCCCTAGCTTTATAGTGCAGTTCACCATACTAATCAGTGTTTCTGATTATCACTTGTTCAGAACTTGAAATTATAGCTAATTGTTCTTTTAAAATTCCAGCTAGCCATTGTTGCAATGGCTGCAAAAGATAGGTTCTTAGGTTTAGCCTTAGAAGAACCATGAATCAGGACCATGATTGAGAATAACGTGAGCCATACAGAGTCTATTAATCTATTAGAGTACGTTAATTTATTGTGTTAAACTGTGTTGAATTAACACCATCAATTCTTTAACTAGTTTTTTCTATTTTTAAAGCCATAAATTTTTAAATTTCTAGCCAAGATATTTTTTTCTAAACCATGCCTATAATGATATTTTAAATGTTATCATGTTCTTCCCTTAAGTGTAGTTGTAGAATATGTGCTATACTGCAAAATAAAAAGGGGGAAATGTTCCAATACTCTTGGATATATAAAAGTTCTTAGGTTGTTTTTAATATTACTTCGGATTCGGAAAAAATTAGTTTTAGTTTGCTTCTGGCATGAAGTATTTAAATTGGTTCTTAGTAGGATTACCAAATCGGTGCAGGCCATTTTGTTGTTTTGAATATGTATGTATTCTAATATTTTTAATTTTTCTAGATGTGGCTTTGCAGGAGAAACAGGACCCAGATGTGTCATACCTAGTGAAATAAAGAAACCTGGTGTTTCAAAGGTAATCTTTTAAGAAAATATAATTATATGAGTATCAGAACAAATGGTGGAAATTGCCAATATGCTCTTAACTATGCTAGCAAATCTGAGAATGTGGCTAACAGATTAGAAAAGTTCTGTCTACCTACCAATACAGTATGCAGATTATACAAGTATACAAACAGTATACTTAATTTCCCACGCTAGCAAAATAATGTTTAGGATCATCCAATGCAGATTAGAGCCCAATATGGAAAGGGATTTCCCAGATTTTCAGAATGGCTTTGGAAATGACTAAGGAATAAGAGACATGATATACCCTAAGTGAATGATGGGGTAGAAACAGCAACAAGTGAACTTATCAAAAGAATTGGAAAGGATCCAAACAATTGTGTAAGTGTAATATTTATTGATACGGTAAATCACTGAAGCCTAAGCCTTGAGAGCCAAGAAATGACAGTAAAGGCTTCAGGAGTATATAGGTTACAAAATACTTAAATGTTGATTTATGAGGAATAAAGTTCAAAATAAATATAGTTATTGTGCAGCAAAAGTATGTTAAGAGGGTCTCTGTACTTTTAATGACATTACAAAAAATGCAATCACTTGATCTCTGTTACGGGAGGAGTTAATGTGCTAATAGTTTGCTAGGAGTCTTTTCCTTGAAGTATTAGGTCTCTTTGGTAACTTGGTCTTTCCTCCTAGGTCAGAAGAGTCACTCTTGTCCTCTTTACCACTATTTATAGTACTCTGTTTATGATTGCTTTAAAATTAAAAAGTCTTAAGAAAGCAAGTTTTCATTTACATTCAAAGGTTTTCATTAAGGTTACATTTTATTGCAAGTGGAACTTTTTTAAACATTAAAAAAAAAATTCACATTGGAAAAAACAAATTGAAATGTCAATATGTGTTTCATTTTATTGTTTTGACCATATGAAGCTATGGAAGATGGTTAGGAAAATAGGAAACTCAGAATATCTCTTTTTTTTTTTATAAAAAAAAGTTTTTATTTTATAAACAAACAAGCAAACAATACATAATCAATCATTCAATGTGTCATCTAAATACATCTTTTGTGTCTTCTTACTCCTCCAATATTTATCATATCTTAATATTATCATTTCATTTATTATAACATTTCCCCCACATTTCTTACTTCTCTATTAATACACTTATCTATCTTTTTATTTTATTAAAAATTTTTCAACCCCCCACAACCTTCAACCCCCCCCCTCCCCACACACCCCTGACTTCCCAGAGTAAAAACAGGGTATAACATTTAACAAACCTAAGCTAAAATATGCTAATTTACTAAAAGATTCAAAACTCCCTCACGTTCTTTTAACTCTCCTTTTAAAAGTTATTCATCAACCTTCCTTTTATAAATTCTCTTATCACATTTCACATTTATTACTAAAATCCTTTCCATACCTTCTTTTTCAGCATTACTCCCTAGTAAAATTCTAAATTAAACATTTATCCTCTTTGGTCATTCATAAACCACTTGCTAATTTCTGATTGTAAGAAAACATTCTTCAGAATACAACCTTAATGATACTGTTAATCCATTGGGTTAAGTTATTTCTAAATCTTAAATTCATTCTTCAATATATAAGTTTCAAAACTTTCAGGAAGCTATCCATTAAATTTTAAATTAAGCATTTGGATACCTCAATAACTTTTAAAAAGCTATCCATTTTTAATTAAACATGTTTACTTCAATAAGACATTCTTCAAAATATAGCCCTCAAAAGGCTATCCCTTAAATTATATCCAAAGCTAAATATAATAAAACACTTCCTTTATATCATTGTCTTAAAAAATACTAATTTCAATAAACTTTCCAGATTTATTACTAAGATTCTCCCCAAAAGAAATTAATCTTCCTTTCTTTCTATATTTTTTCCAGTCCTTCTTCTTCAATAATACTTTCTTCTTCAGCATTGCTCCTCCCCCTGCTTTTATTTTCAAGAATTTTTCTCTCCTCCATTTTTTTTGGCTTTTTTACAAACTTTCTTCTTTCTTTCTTTCTTCTTCAGTCTTACTCCTCCACCACAATCCTGTTCTCTTCCTCTCGGTAAGAACACCTCTTTAACTGCAATTGAAAATCCATCCCTGCAACAAAGTTGTAAAGTTCCACTTCAAATCTTCCTTTTTGTATAAAAAATCCCAACACCTCCTGACAATTCTCCATTTGCCTATATCAGAACCTCTGGAGGAATATCTCTCAATCTTTCCTGGTTACACTCCTTCAAGCCTCTCTGCTCCTTTCTCTCAATTTGAAAAGCCTCTATTTCATTTTCCAAAGGCACAATAAATTGGGTTTTTTCTTCCGCCTCCTCTTCACTTATATCCTTGTTTGGGATTTGAGTAAAATCCTTCTTAAGAAACCCTTCAATTCCTTCCACGAACACAGAGGCAAATGATTCCAAAACTTCTTCCAAAAGATCCACAGTCAGCATTTGTGAGCCTTCATCATTTTCAAAAAATCCAGCCATTTTTTTCCCCCCTTAGATATAATTTTTAAATCCTTCTCCTTTTAAAATAAAATCCTCTTCTTTTAAACAGGGGCTTTCAACACCACATAATACTTTGTATCTAAGTTTCACTTTTCCACACCCCATTAGAAACACACGCCATCTTACTTTCCCTTTCTACCACAGAGATTCAGAGGGAAGTGATAGATTTTGGAGTTAAAGTTTAGTACTTGCAATTTTCGTTTCTCCTGTATTTGCTCTGCCAGCTTTTAAGTCCAAAATTTCTTCCCTTAACATTGAGTTGCTAATGCTGGTGTGGTCGTGATGCCACGTTCTGCATAAAGCAGACTCGTCCCAGATCCGGAGCACTGAAGAGCTTTCAGGGAACTCTCACCCTGCAAACCCCAGGCTTAAAAAGAAAAACCTGGGGGTCTAGGGGAGCTCTACCCAAACCCCTATGCTCTTCTCTCCCCCTTTTCCCCGGGGGGAGAGTTTCAAGCCGCTAGACAGCTGATTTTCGCTGTTCTAGCAGCAAACAGAATCACGGGGCTGGAGCTCCTAAAGGAGCGTCCATTGGTGATCACGGAGCCACCGGAAGTCGAAACTCAGAATATCTCAATGTCCTTATTGAAAATTATATTCAGGTTAGGAAGCTGCAGTCCAGGCAGAACATGGCAAAACATGGCTCCATATGTAAACCTTACAAGCAACTTTCTTGGTTGTGGACTGACAATCATAATATTACACAGCCTCCCATCTAAAATTTGATACGCATAGAAGTAATATTACAACTGTACAACAAAGTGCCAGGCTGAGATAAAGAACCTTTGTTGGTTGTATGGTAGCATTGGATTATTAATATGTGATATTGTTAAGCGCAAACAACCAGATCTACATGTATTGAGTTTAAGCTAACTGCTTTATTGTATTCTGCCTGTAATACAGGAATCTCCCCAGACTGCTTGCCTCAGGAACAGATAGATAAGGTTCCAGGGAGTTTTGGGAGGGTCAGTTCTCGATCTCTTGCAGTTACTCTCCCCCCCCCCGGGCTGGACATTCCCCAACAGAGACTTATTCATAAAATTCATAAATCTATCATTACTTAAATGGATTGTCTGTGCATATAATAATCAAGAAATGCTAAATAAATTTTAAAATATTTAAAACTATGGTTTTTTCTAAATTCACAGCCTATCAGAATTGTTCAATATAACATCAATACAGAAGAATTGTATTCATACCTGAAGGAATTCATTCACATGCTTTATTTCAGGTAGGAGATACTGCACTAAATATTTCTGTGATGGGTTGTTGGGGTGGGTAGCCCCAAGTTTTGCAAAGAGATTGCTTAGATATTGGATTAAGTAAGATATGATTATGGCTGTGTTATGTATTACAGAGCTTCCATTTCCTATCCTAGGATTTGATACTACTATATAGCCACTATCCAAAATCTGTAGTGTGTGTTCTTAGAATTGTATCAGACTTTTGATATCTAATAAGCCTATGCTTGCTCACCTTCTTAAACATCAACCAATATAAATATTTATTATAATCATCTTGGTTTGCAATATTCTGATGCGACAATCTGAAACCCAACATCACTGCTAGGGTCAAGCTATCATACATTTTATTTGCATATAAGCTAGCTTGATTATGAGTCCAGCTCTTGTAATTTACTTAACAAATTGGCTAAGCCTGATTAGTGACCCCAATTGCTCACTTCACTTTTATGGTTTATAGGCCCAAGTCATAAGATTGTTTTTACAAGCCTTTTTAAAAATTATCATTTCTCAGTTGATCAATCTGGCTTAAAAAAGACAGAATGCCTTTCTCTTTTAAAATGTTCATAAAAATAAAAAGAGACAAGATGTGGTTTTAAATATGAGTAAAAATGTGAATGTCATTTCACCATATAAATTCATACATTTACATAAGCATCAAGCACAGATCTTTCTAGGATTTTGTAACTGCTTTCTAGCTAAGGTAAAGCTTTCTTAAGGAGCTGTTGACCTATGCTTACTCTGAACCATTTTTTCCCCTTCAAATCTGGATTTCTCTTCAACACTAAAAAAAAATGAATATAGGCAAATATATCTGAAATTAAACATCAACCTCAATATACTTGCTTCTCTGAAGCTCAGGCATGTGTTAATCTTCCCATTATAGAATATTTGTCTAAAGCCAATCAAAATGGGAAGGCAGTATATCTCCTTCCAGTTGAATTTCTGACCTATCAGTCAATATTCCAATACCTGGTATTGCTCATCGTTTTGGTTCTCATCTGTTTGCATATCTATTCAAAAGTTAAGCCTCATTGTACTTAGGTAAATTTATTCCATTGTAATGTATTTTATTCATTCATGGATTTATAGACGGCTCATATCACAAGGCATTGAGGCAATTTACAATAATCATTAATAAAAACCTATAGACAATAACCCATCCTAAACTAAGCAATTCTACCTAGGATTGTAATCTGCTTGAAAACTTGAAAGCAAGTAATAAATTTGTACACAAAGGCAAATAATTTTATTCGGTTTTCTGATCACATTCATTCATTTTTCAGGCATCTGCTGGTAAACCCCCGAGACCGTCGGGTTGTGATCGTGGAATCTGTATTGTGCCCTTCTCATTTCAGAGAGACACTCACAAAAGTTCTATTCAAGTATTTTGAGGTACAGTAACACATTCCAACTTGCTTGCTATAGCTGACAATTTTAACAGTTGTCAGATTTTCTTTACTCACCTGTGAATTTTTTTTTTTTTTTAATTTGATTTATATGCCACCCTTCTCCGGAGACTCAGGGCGGCTTACAGTGCGTTAAGCAATAGCCTTCATACTTTTGTATATTTTATACAAAGTCAGCTTATTGTCCCCACAAACTGGGTCCTCAATTTACCTACCTTAGAAAGGATGGAAGGCTGAATCAACCTTGAGCCTGGCAAGATTCGAACTTACTTTAATTGCAGACAGCTGGTGTTAAATTACAGTGCCTTGTCTGCAGAGCTATCCAGGCTCCTTAATTAAAGCAACCATGACCCAATTTTTAATAATTTCCCAGTCACTAAGGGGTCCTAAATTCTGGATCTGGATCTGTTGAAGGTAGTCCTCAACATATGATCAAAAGATGGTTACGACTGGTCCTTGGAGTTCAAGACATCCCAGAATGCCCTCCCCTCAGTCACATGACCCCAGTCTAGGTACTTGGCAACTGGCTTGCACTAATGACACATTACAGAGCCCAGTCATCACATTTGCTGCTTTCCCTGCCTGCTCCCCAGGATACTCAGTGGGGAATTTGGCAGGGAAGGTCACAAGTTGCTGGAATAAGTCTTTTCCACCCATGCACCATCTCCCAGCCTCTGGGCTTAATGCTAACCACACGTGCACCCTCCCCAATCCTTGCCATGTCTTCCTTTAATCTTTTCTTTTATGTACTCCAAGAGCGTATGCACCAAGACAAATTCCTTGTGTGTCCACTCACACTTGGCCAATAAAGAATTCTATTCTTGTGCAACGTTGCCCCAGTTCTCACTGTGCCTCCCTCGTGCACTTTCCCCAAGCCTTGCTGCAACACCCTTGCCGCACACCCTCCCTATGCTGCACTGTACTTCCCTTGCACTTCCCTGTGCATTCTCCCTGGCATTTACCATACCTCTGTCAAGCACTGTCCTGAGCCTCGCTGTGCCACCCTTGCATACTTCTGCGCATCCTCTCCTAGTCTTTCCGTATCGCTTCGTGCATCACCTCAGATCCTTCCCTACCCATCAGGCACCACTTACTTGCCTGATGGCCTGCTTGCAAGCCATCTGGGACTTGCAATCTCCCCAAATCTTGCCACGTCTGCTGGCGTCCTCAGAGATTGACTTGGTTGTGGGAAGCCAATAGGAAGTTGTCTCATCCAACAACCATGGGATTTACTTAGTGGGAATAGGATTGCAGGGCTGGCTGTTGCTAATCAATGCAGTCACTCTTTAGAACCACATCGCTTAATGATTGAAGTTCTGGTTCCAATTGCTGTTGTAAGTTGAGGACTATATATGGTAGAATTCCCCAATCTTTCTGAATTGGCGGCTCGGAGTGGGTGGAGGGGAGAAAGGGGATGGTTTTGTGGGAGGGGCAGGCGCATGTGCGCACGTGAACCCCCTTTGCTTGCGCAAGTGAGGCTGTGAGCGCTCGTACAAGTGGGACCACAAGCTAATCACGTGGCACGTGGCCAATAGGCATGGCCCACAGGTTGGGGATCCCCGATCTATGGCATACTTTCCTTTAGTGGAAACATTCAGTTACAAAATATATAGCCTTGTGTCAGGGATGCTTTAATTTAGACTTTGTCCTGTCCCAGGTGAGACACACAAACACACACACACACACACACACACACACACACACACACACACAGAGAGAGAGAGAGAGAGAGAGAGAGAGGAGTTAAGCTGCAAAAAGCTTATATCTGGTTTATGCAGTTACAGCAAGAGCAGGCTAGGCGTGTATGTAGTCACATGCAGTTTTGAGTAGTCCCAAATCCCTTGGAAGCTTGGCCTGGAAGGAGTTTCAAGTAATCAAAATCCAAAGTAACAGGCAGACACATTGTTGGAACACAGCACAAAGGTCTCAGCATGGTGGGGGGGTCCAAGTTGGACCCTTGAAGATGGTCCAAAAGCTGGTCCAAGTTCAAGGAACAGAGACAGGAGTTCAGGATATATTGAATGTGGGATTTCCTGCATACAGATGATAATGGCAGTGTGTCCAAATGATCACAGACATCCTGCAGAATATTAAAAATTGTACTTTTGTATTCCTTCTAGGTTCCTTCAGTGTTGTTTGCACCAAGTCATCTGATGTCTCTTCTAACACTTGGAATTAATTCTGCAATGGTTTTGGATTGTGGTTATACAGAAAGCCTGGTGTTACCTGTATCTTTTTAAAATCTCTTTTAATCCTATCAGTCAGGAAGCAAGTACCCTAAGCACGACAAAATGGACTCCCCAGAACTAACTAAGTTGACTTCTGGGCAAAAGATTTTCCATGTCAGATATCCTACTTTCCTTGTCAAATATCCTATTTTATTTAAGCCAATTTACACTTTAAACCAGGACTGTGAAACTGGAGGCTCACGGGCCAGGTACGGCCCGTGCAGGCCACACCCACCCTGGTTCCCCAAAGCCAAACAACATTGTGATACGTCACAATATGGCCCACGATGCGATCGGGTTTGACACCCCTGCTTTAAACTGAAAATATTCCCAGGGCATTCTGCAGTATAAAAGGAAAATAAAATGTAGAGATAGTCCTCAATTTACAACCATAATTGACCCCCCTACACGCATATTTCCATTGCTAAGCAAGGCAGTTGTTAAGTGAGTAGTGTCCCATTTTACAACATTTTTTGTCTTGATTGTTAAACCAACATTACAGTTAAGTCAATCATTTAGTCATCAAGCAATCTGGCTTCCCTCATTGGCTTTGTTTGTCAGAAGCTGCCTTGGAAGGTCGCCAGACCCCCGGATACAGCAACCATCAGAAATACATACATCAGAAATACAAACCCAAAGTTTGATCACGTAATGCTGCAGCAGTCATAAGACTGAGAATTGGTTGTAAGTCATTTTTTTCAGCACCCCTGTAACTTTAAACTCATCAAATGAACGGGTGTAAATCAAATGGTAATAAAATAACAGAAAAGGCAACAAAATACAGGTAGTCCTCAACTTACAACAGTTTGTTTAGTAACCGTTCAAAGTTACCACAGCACTGAAAAAAGTGGCCTATGACCGTTTATCACACACACAACCATTGCAGCATCCCTATGGTCACGTGATCAAAACTCGGATGCTTGGCAACTGACTCATATTTATGACAGATGCTATGTTCCAGGGTCACGTGATGAACTTTTGCGACCTTTTGACAAGCAAAGTCAATGGGGAAGCCAGATTCACTTCAACTGTGTTACTAACTGAACAACTGCAGTGGTTCACTTAACAGCTGTGGCAAGAAAGGTAGTAAAATGAGGTAAAATTCAGTTGGGAACTGTCTTGCTGAACAACGGGGGGGGGGCGGAAATTGAATGTTAGAAAAACAAAGACTCTTCAGTTGGTACTGAAAAAGATGTAGGCTCAGTGGTGGGATTCAGCCAGTTCGGGAGAACCGGTAGTTAAATTGCTGGCTGGCCCCACCCCGCCCCTTCCAGGAGTCCCCATGCACCTCATTTTGGCTTCCAGTAAGTGCAGGGAGGCCGCCTAGGTCCAAAACGGGGCACGGGGGGTGGCGTCCCTCCCGCAGCCCGTTTTTGGTTCCAGGTGGGTGCAGGAGGCACCTGTCACACACCCTGGCCATGTCCACCATGGCCACACCCACCCAGCAAATCATTAGGGCAGAGAACCAGTTGTTCAATTATTTGAATCCCACCACTGTGTAGGGTTACTCCACTTGTCCTGAAGAGTGTTCCATGAGCTGCCTGTTTTGAGATGTTGAGAGCAGAGAAAGCCAAACAAGCTTTTATTGCCACATTCAGAGATCCCATCATTCTTCCATCATCTCCTGTCCAAGCAATGAAAAGATCCAGCCTTTTTTTTTTTAGCTTCCATAAATTGGTTGCTTTATATATCTTCAAGTCATGCCTCAGATTTCATTCATGAAGCCTGAGATTAAAAATCAGCTTTATTTCAATTCAGTGACAATTACGAGGGCTTTGGAGATTTGATGTATTTGAAGCTAATGCTACTTATTTATAAATAAAATACTTGCATGCAAAATTTCTTCACTTAAGTAATTCTTGTTGCAGAAAAAGCAGGCGTATCTTCATTTAAAATTATGAAAAAAAAAATTTAAAGAAAGCATATTCAGGTCAAAAACTTAACCATTGTTCCAAAATTGTAGTGTATCATGACTCTTTAATTCCTATCTCAGCTGCCCAAGGTTGCTATTAAAAGATGGCCACATAAATTAATTGTAAAAACACCGAAATAAAAATGAATTTTCTCTTCTGGTAATATTGTCATCTGCAATCGTACATTTGTGTGTGATGCTTGTATCTCATCTTTTAAATAAGAAATACTGTGAAATAAAATATCCTTAACTGTTCGAAGATTTATGAAGGAATTCCTGTACTCAGTTGCTGGGGTGCTCTTCCTTTGGGAGGAAAAGCCATTCACAAGTAAGCTGATAGCAAATATCAAGGCATTTATTAAGGAAAGATCAACTACTTTGGCAGTGTTTCTCAACCTCAACAAATTTAAGATGTGCGGACTTCAATTCCCAAAATTCTGGGATCTCAGAATTAAGTACCTATCTTAAAGCTGCTGAAGTTGAGAAACACTGGTTTTGAGTAATATTGATTTTGCTAGGTGGGAACCAGGATGGACTGGGTTTTTTTCATTCCTACAAGTGTTTGGAAGAGAAGCAGACAACATTCTGCTCCCAAACCTTTTGGATCTCGGCTCTAATCCGCTCTGGTTACATGGATTACATGGGAAGAGAATTATGATAATTGTAGTCCATGATGTTGGGTGGATACTTGGTAGCCTATCTTTTTTTATATAAATACAAGTTAGACATTATATAAGGAAAATCTCTCCTGCATAATACTAGAATTTGGGCTTTATGCTTTTTCATACAGAAGATAGTTGGGATTAGCTGTAGGATTAACTTTTAGAAGATGTAATAAATATAGACAGCATGTAGAAGATGATCAAGCTAATACAAGGAGGATGCCATTAATGACTACTGGTTACCATAGTTCTTTATTATTCTTCAGTATAAATGGACAGGTGTAGCACTTTCACTACTACTACCAGTGTTAAGAGGGCTGAAAATGTTGCATCCCAATTGGCTCTTCTCCAAAATGTTAACCATTACATAGTTGATGAAGCCAGAAGGCTGAAAATCGTCCATTGTACAAATGCATCATGTGAGATGAATGAATGCCAGAAAATCAATGCCAGATATTTCCTAAATATCTTCTGTTCTCCTTAATACTCTCTAGAGAACTAGAGTACCAGTTGCTGGAGCAAAGTACAGTAGATACAGGAGCCATCAAAGGACAAAGCCTTACCTCAGTGATGGGTAAGATCTCTGCTGGGAGAGGGAGACTGCTTTTCACCTTAGTGGTTCTGGGGGAGGATAGGGGATGGATGGATGGATAGATGGATGGATGGATGGACGGACGGACGGACAGACAAATCTTGTCCTAAGAAGCAGTAATTTCAATCCCCTTATTTCCAATAATGTGTTAATTCAGGAAAGTATTGTTATGCTTGATCTCAGTGTATTCCACTCTAAACCCTTAAATATCTTGGTTGCAATTCTTAACCTTATCACTGAACTATTAGACTTATCAATGTGTGTGTTTAATTTGCATTAAAGCAGAATTTTCTAGGTAACTTGCACTTAAATTGTCAGAATGGTCTGCATTTGAATTTTGTATCCTCGGTAGGTGTTAATTCCAGATATATTGCATTTCTGCTATTTTAGGTTCTGTTCCAGAAGACATTGTAGAAGACATAAAAGGTAAAATACGTTTCTTTGTACAAACTTTAGTTTAGTTTTTGTCCAGAAATCTTTAAATGCATGGAAGTAGACTTTCATAAAATAGTGGGATAACTTTAAATCCGCTTCTTCCATAAATATATCTGAACAGCAACAGCTAATGTTGCAGCCTCAGACATTTTGAGGTAATTTTCCTTACCATCTTACAAACCAGCTGCTTCATGTTACATTCTCGTTCACAGAACGATAATGAACGATCTGCCAACTATATCCATTTCCCCAAAGTTTTGTTCCAAATCTTGCTAGCATGATATGCATCTCACTAAGAGGCTCTTTGCAAAGGGGAATAATTCAAAAAGATAGATCATATCAGTACAAAAGTATTTCTTTTGGAGAAATCTCACAAGAGGTTTACAAATATCAAAGGAGGACAATCTAAAGGCTATTTTTGTATCTCTCTGAAGTTCGCACTTGTTTTGTGAGTGACCTCCAGCGGGGACTGAAAATTCAGGCAGCAAAGTTTGATATGGATGATAGCGCTAAGGTATGTTGGAAATAAACAGAAGTTTCAATTCAGTAGAGCAAATGTAATTACTTAAATGTAATGTTTCACTTTCCGAGTGTGCCTCTATCCTTTGTAGCGTCCAACTCCACCGCCAGATGTAGACTATCCACTGGATGGAGAGAAGATTTTGCATATCAATGGATCAATCAGGTTAGCAATACGGTCACTTTCTTGTATTACTTTTGCAATGACAATTACATTTTTTAAGTCCCTCTCAACAGGATGTTGTTTGCTAGGCAAGAGCAGAATGTATAGATGTCCAAGCTACTCTTATTCAGAAAGTGTTAAAAGTGTTGCACAAGGGGAAAAGTCTGGCTCTAAACCAGAGGTGGGTTCCACTTACCTTTACTACCGGTTCGCAACAGGAGTGTGCATGTGCGTTTGCTTCGCTCGAGTGCGCTTCTGCGCATGCGCAGATCATCCATGATGACATCCGGGCGGAGCCTCTCGCCGCTTTTACTACCGGTTCCCAAGAACCAGACCGAACCGGGAGCAACCCATCACTGCTCCAAACCTACACTACTGTCAAGATATATTTCATCAAGCCTTACCAACCTTTGATTGGGATTTGGGAACCAACACTGCAAACAAGTGGGACCACATCAAAAAGTTTAAAAAGTAGTGATAGTATACAAATTAAGTAAATGTTTTTACCCAGAGAGTGTTGCTGTTTGGGATGGAAAGCAAGTAGAGAGATCAAGGGCCTTGAGCGGGAAGGAAGATTCACAAATAAGGCAACAGGGGTACAAGGAGCAGCACTGAGTCAGGGGGGGGTAGGGAAGTGAGAAAAGATGGGTCAGGTAGATTTGGGCCACCAAATTTGGTAGCGGAATGGGAAGAGGGGGACTTGATGTAGGCTGTATCTGAACACATGGTGGGCTGCATACAGCCTGACACAGGATTGTGTACTTTTCTCTAAAGTCGGTATAATCCTTTTCAAATCAGTTGGGTAGCTAGGACAGAACAGGTAATATCCTCTGGATTCCTAAACAGATTCAAGCTTCACTCTCTGCATATTAACATTGAAAGTCGCCTAGAGTCGCCTCACGGGGAGATAGGTGATGAACACATTTAATAAATAAGTATAATAAATAAATGACTCAAGGCTTCCTTTTTTTTCTCACAGAGATTCTGTTGTCGAAGTACTCTTTGTGCAGGATAATGAAGAGAAATCTGTGGCTACTTTAATATTGGACTCTCTTATGGAGGTAGCACAATTTGGATAAGATTGTCTGTGTGTGAGACAGTATGTGTGTGCAAGCTCTGTTAATAGCGGGTTTTTTTTTTACCCAGACACCCTGACATGACCACAAGAGTGATGATGACACAGAGAAACCAAGGCTGTGGAAGCTTTTATGCCTGAAATGTATTTGAATATAAGTAGCTCAGATTGGTAGTTGGGCTGTGGCCTGAACTCCAAGCTTGGCAATTTGGTTGCAAACGTTTCGTCACGATTCGAGGAGACATTGTCAGTACATACAGAGATACTGACGATGTCTCCTCAAATGGTGATGAAATGTTTGCAGCCAAATTGCCAAGCTCAGAGTTCAGACCAACAGCCTAGCTTTTATGGCTCTTTACTTCTTTATGCTATTGAGTCATCAGGTGTACTTAGTTTTTTCATGTGTGGCTCTTCCATTGTGGCTTTCTTTTTGTAAAATACATGGTGACATGGTGTAATATGTCATATGTTGTTGTTGTTCATCTGAGGTTGTATTTACCTACTTTTATGCTGTTAAGGACCAGATTATTTTTACTATCTCCTGATATTTTATATATATAAAAGCGAAAACCACTCACGCCGTAATCACAAAATCTCCAGAACCATAAAGCCTACAAACTTGAAATTTGCCACATATGTTCCTCTTGGCTTCTAGGTGCTCACTAAGAAAGGATTTTTCGAAATAACCATCAGAGCATTAGTATTTCCTATATTATTATAACACGCTCTTATGCTAATTAGTTAGACATTCTACTCCCCCTCCCAACTTGAAAATAACTCTGGAGAGAACAGCATAGCATAGCCGTTCTGTGGGGCAAGCCTGAGGGAGAGAAGGGGCTAGAAAGCCTGAGGGGCAGAAGGGGATAGGATAGGGGAGGCTTCTGTGGGGCAAGGCCAAGGGAGAGAAGGGGAGAGGAGAGGAGAGGACGATTGTAACTACTCATTAATTTTCAAGCTGTAAGTGTCGATTTATCAAGCCCCATCACATAGTTTCGTAGCGAAGCACAGGTATCCAGCTAATGTTTTGATATGTAAACCCACAGAACTCAAAGAGGGTGTACTTTCTTTTTCACATGACTATATGTACAAGGCTGGACCAATGGGAATGTTTTCTCTCTCTGCCCCACAACAGCCCTGGCTAACAGCCAGATCAATACATTAATCCTCATCACAGTATCCCTAGAGTCAGCTTCCTCTCCCCTTTTTGTCTCTCTTGCTAACTCACACCCGCACAACAGTAGCTATACCCAGCTATACACCACAGCCTGATATAATACAGAAAGTGTCAGAAGCCTTGGTAGATAAAGGCAATCTCACAGGAAATTAAGCAGTTAAAGTAGGAAGCCAAGTATGTGTGTGGGGGAGGGGGGGAGGGGGGGTTTCAAATCATCTGCCTGCCCAGTTTGCTGTACATTTGATCGTGCTTAATTTTCCTGACAGAACAATTAGTCAGTGGAACAACTTGCTTCCAGAAGTTGTGAATGAGGTTTGAAGTTTTTAAGAAGAGATTGGACAACCATTTGTCTGAAATGGTATAGGGTTTCCTGATTAAGCAGGGGGTTGGACTAGACGACCTCCAAGGTCCCTTCCAACTTTGTTATTCTGTTATTTTGTTAATTACTAGCCTAATTGAAATGTTTTCTCTTCTTCTTCTCCTTTATCAGTGCCCAATAGATACTAGGAAGCAACTGGCCGAAAACCTGATAGTAATTGGGGGTACAGCTATGTTACCAGGATTCCTGCACAGATTAATGGCCGAAATACGGTACCTGGTGGAGAAGCCAAAGTACAAGGAGATCCTGGCCTCAAAGACCTTCCGAGTGCACACGCCACCAGCCAAGCCAAACTGTGTGGCATGGTTAGGAGGTTAGTCTGCAAAAGCTAGGAACCGGAGTGGAAATTATGTGAGCCTGCACACAGTATGCAACTTTTGCAATGCCACTCCTAGCAGAGACTGGAAAGCTTGGGTACAGGGGCACAATATATTTTATAAATTTTAGTATCTTTTCCTCAGTCTTTCGCCAAAGGGCTTGAGGAGGTGTAGAACTAGGGCCAGCAACTGTTCTATGACTGGGGGAAGGAACCGGCTCCTGAGATTATCAAGATATTTGGTCTTGATATTTATTTTTTTTATAGCCCTGTTTAATTTCTGATTGGTATTCAGCTTCTCAGAATCTCTATTGTAGGAATTGGATCATTATATCAATTATCATCATATAGATGAAAAACTCTCAGTCAAGATTGACTAGGGAAAAACAGTAAGATCTTACTTGGGCTAATAGAAATACACAAAAATAAAACTTGGGTTGTACTTTTCCCTCTTGCCACCATTTGATTTGCTTCTCCATGTTTTAAGCCCTGTGTCTTATTCTGTATTACAGGAGGCATTTTTGGAGCCCTTCAGGACATTCTTGGCAGTCGTTCAGTCTCAAAAGAATATTACAACCAGACAGGACGTATCCCTGATTGGTGCTGCCTCAATAACCCTCCTTTGGAAATGATGTTTGATGTAGGAAAAACACCTCCACCGTTGATGAAAAGGGCTTTTTCCACAGAGAAATAACAGTTTTGTTCATACTGTGACGTTGCCTTTTTTCCTCATCTACCTGAAGTTGGACTGTTACGGAGCTCAGTGTAATACGTTGGATAAATCTGCAAGTTAAATTCTGGGGCACTGGCCACAATTTTGGCTGATTATGTTCCTTTCTGTCAGTTACATTGGCTTATGATGATGCCCCAGTGATATTTGTTTATTTACACAAGTCATATCAACATAAGTGCTCAAGCCTTTACTGTTATTTAAAGTATATACTGTAGATACCTTTTTTAAAGCTCGCTTGGCATCTGATGCTGCACATACGAGTTCTTCCACCAAATGTAATGCCGTGTTTAATTTGAAACCTGTTGCCTCTTAAAATAGATTTAAAATATCCATAATAGTTTGAGGATTTTCTTGGAAATTTAGTGAACAATCCTGGCCCTTGCTTTTGTTAAGGTAAGGAATGGCAAGTAGGGGCCTTCTTGATGATTATCAACACCACGTATAAATTAGAACATGTAATTCACAACATTAGGAGAGCCACAATTATTGTAATTCACAAACATTAAGAGAGCCACTAGCATCCCTCGGCGTTGGCTCGGGCTTCTGGGAATAAATGTTCACCGACTTCTGGATTGGCTTCTTCCTTGTTCCTGAAAAAAAGAGAGAGGAAGCTATCCCTTATAAAAAGCCAATCATGATATAATCTTTTACTTACAATGGAGCCAGAGTGCTTAAAGTTAACTCACATGTTAAAAACATTTATTTAACCAATCAATGCTCATTGTCTACTCTGTTGCTTTTATTTTAATTTCAGCTGCTTTAATTTATTTTACTTAAAAACATTCTTTCCCTCTCTTCAATCCAGCAATTTTTATAGCATCTTGCAAACATTTAGCATTTAGGAAAATCCCTCATTTTCAGAAATCTCCACCTCCTTTTTATCCTTGGAACTAGAACCATCGATGGCTTTGGTTATGTTGATTTTCCTATGAAAGAGCAAGTCATCTAACACATTTCATTATGATATTCTCATGTAGAAATTATATGGCCTGTCAAATTTTAAAAAAAATATTAAAAGTGTCCCAAATCAACATGTCTGCGAAACATGGTTGTATCTCTGCTTTCACTGTAGAGTTCTAGGCCTACAGAATCGTTTCTCTTATTTCACTCTGGTTCTTCTATCCTTTTTTTTTTTTTTTTTGGTGGGGTTAAGCTGAATAAAATTTGTTTCATTCTGTTTCAAGCAACATTATCTAGAATTTATTGTGGTTTTCTTAATCAACTTTAAATGTACCAGATTCTACCTCTTGTTTTGGGGGGGGAGGGGGGGGACTTAAAAGATGGTGTATAATACCTTAATTTCTTCTTGAGATGGAAATACTGAAGTATAGGTAGGCCTCAACTTACGAGCCCAACATTTCTGTTGATAAGCGAGACATTTCTTAAGTGAGTTTTGCCCCATTTTACAACCTTTCTTGCCTCCAGTGCCTGGAGGCTGTACGGGTCTGGATGGGGAGGAACAGGCTCAAGCTCAACCCTTCCAAGACTGAGTGGCTGTGGCTCCCGGCATCCCGATATAGTCAGTTGACTCCATCACTGACTATTGGGGGCGAGTCATTGGCCCCCACAGAGAGGGCTCGCAATCTGGGAGTCCTCCTGGATATGCAGCTGTCCTTGGAGGAACATCTGACGGCTGTAACCAGGGGGACCTTTTGTCAGGTTCGCCTGATTCGCCAGTTGCGGCCCTTTCTTGATCGGGATTCCCTGTGCACAGTCACTCACGCCCTCGTCACCTCTCGCCTTGACTATTGCAACGCTCTCTACATGGGGCTCCCCTTGAGGAGCACCCGGAGGCTCCAGCTGGTCCAGAACGCAGCAGCGCGGGTAGTGACGGGAGCAGCATGGCGCTCCCATGTAACACCGCTCCTGCGCGAGCTGCACTGGCTCCCAGTTGTCTTCCGGGTGCGCTTCAAGGTGTTGGTTATCACCTTTAAAGCGCTCCATGGCATAGGGCCTAGCTATCTTCGAGACCGCCTGCTGCTACCAACGACCTCCCATCGACCCGTGCGCTCCCACAGAGAGGGCCTCCTCGGGGTGCCATCAGCCAGACAATGTAGGCTGGTGACCCCCAGGGGGAGAGCCTTCTCTGTGGGGGCACCTACCCTCTGGAATCAGCTCCCCCCAGAGATAAGGAGAATCCAAGACCTCAGTGCCTTCCGTCGCGCCCTTAAAACCCATTTATTTAAACAAGCCGGGCTGGCTTAAGATGAAATTTTTAACTGTTTTTAAATGTTTTAAACGTTTTTAATTGGTAAATGAGTTTTAATTGGGCCAAATTTATATATCTTTTAATTGTTTTTAATATTTGTTCTGCATGTTTTTTTTTGTTTTTTTTTTTTTTTTTTAAATCTGGCTGTACACCGCCCTGAGTCCTTAGGGAGAAGGGCGGTATAGAAATCCAATATAAAATAAAATAAAATAAATATATCTTAAGTGAATCATTGCAGTTAAGTTAGTAATCTAGTTAAGTGAATCTGGTTTCCCCATTGTATTTGCTTGTCAGAAGGTCACAAAAGGGAATCGCACAACTCCAGGACACTGCAAGTGTCATGAGTCAGTAGCCAAACATCTGATTTTTGATTATGTGACCATAGGGCTGCTACAATGGTTGTAAATAAGAAAAAAGGTCATTTTTTCCAGTGCTGCTGTAACTTTGAATGGTCACTAAATGAACTGTTGTAAGTTGAGGACTACCTGTATTCAACAAACTAGGAAGTATTCACAATGAATTACCTTCACAAATAAAAAGTTTTCTTCTCACATTTTTTTCCATAATAGGAGAAGTAAAGCTATGTAAAAAGAAAAAGACCACATTCTTATTACAAGTCTATATCCTATATTATCCTGATCTTTACCTGTATCAAACCATGATTATGGGAAATAATATAGCATGCAAGCATTGGATTCATATATTGTGATAAGCCCTGATTTGAAAGAATTGCACATCTAGCTCTGTAAGGGTTGGTTTGACAAATTATATATACGATTGACAAATAGTGGTCACTGTTATATAATTATTAATGCAAACTTGAATTGCTTTATAGCTTAATGTGATGTGTAGATTTAGATTCTTTCTTGCCTTGACTTTTTCTGTGAAAAGTCTTGTTGTCCTGGACATCTATTTCAAGTATCTATCATTTCCAATTGACTTGCTTCTGTTTAAAATATAGATCCTATTTTCTATGTTAGAAGAAGCTGAAAATGATACAACACAGGTACATTTTTAGGGAATTCTAAAATTTAACTCACTAAGAGTTAAATCTTTAAAACAGTTGTAGAAATGGGTTGTATAATTCAGGCACACTCTTCTGGAAAAGCTTTGAGAAAAGTGGGGAATAATAGCATTTTACGACAATTCTGAGCAGTTCTGATTTTAAGACAGATTGGAGTTTAAAGGATAGAGAAATGGCTGTTGACTTGGGTAAGTGTCCTCAAGATATTGCAATATGCATGTATGTATGTATCCTATAGCACATTCAACAAAACAAAAGATAAAAATATGAAATACAAAATGTGAAATATTAGATTACAGATACAATTTTTTGCTTCATTTGTCACAGCCAGGAAGTCAGCAAAGTCCATTATAGACTCTATTTTGGCATTCTGTCACTATATGTTGGATTGTTCGTTTTTCAGCCCCGCACACAATTTGGTGATGATATTTTGCCCCACTTACACAAGGCCATGGCCAGTACAAATTCAGTTCAGTACTGTAGATATCCAAACACCAAATGATCATCAATTAACAATGAAAATACAGTGAAACTTTGGGAAAGGTAGATGTGTTATAACAATGTAGCTAAAAGATTCTTCACACCTCTCTAGAGTCTTGTCTGTACCTCCCCAAGGGCGTGCTCCTGGAAACACTGGTTTAAGGTTTTCCTGACAGGTTCTACATGATCCAAATCACACTTTGAGCATGGATTAGTGCTCAGGGCTTGTGTTTTCACAGGTACTGACCCACAAATTGCCAACTAAAATTTAGCTCAATGTGTTGTGTAGTTACTAGAAGTAACATTGTATCATACATACCCCAAATCCTGATTCAGTTAATTATAGTCAACCTGTTGGACAAATATATCCATTTTTTCTGTGGGAATCCTACAGAATTAATGTCTTTGCTCATTCAAGGCCTCAGCAACTTGAGCTCTTAGGGCTGCATGGAGGCCTACAAACAACTCCTTTCTTGTATTCCGCAAACCACTATTGATCAAAGTTGCCAGAAACTGAAGTTACAATTTTTAAGGGGGGAAAAAGACAAAAAGTGCTATCTATCCTAAAGTATCATCTTAATTATCAATAAAGCAAAGAAACAGCCACTAAACTCTTGTTACTACCTATTGTATAATTTAGACATTTACAACATGAAATAAAACTCTTGGGCAATAAAATACTCCCTACTAGCTTAAGGATTCCACAAGACTTACTGAAGTAGCACACAGGTGATTCTAATGCCCCAATTTTAATGAAAGAATCCTTGATTCTCTTCTCAGATAAAGAGGTCCATACTTCATTCAGCTGCTTGGAGTAATTCAGGCTCAAAGGCTTTAAGGTAGAAAAATAATGGCTGCAGCTGACTTTCTTTTAGAATAGCAATTTTTAACTTCTCTCTACTCTAAAAGGGTTTTAACTCCGTGACTGAACAAGAAACAGAGGAGGATTAAATTTCTTGTTAATTTACTCAGTACCATTAGAAGCCATCCATGGATGGGGAATTCTCATTGGAAAGCTACCTAGATGAGTGTTCAAGCCAGGTAAAGTGAAGGTTGTTAGTTTAGGTTAGTATAAAAGTGGCTCTGATGTATCTTTTTGTGCTTGTGAATGGGGAACTGGTTGATTACATTTTAATGTAATCTTAAAATGTATATTACTAGTTTAGTATGTTTTGTGAAGCCACAAAAATCAATTATGTATAAGTGTGTTGTATAAACTTAAACCTTTCTCTAATGTAGTCAGTTATTGTTTGGAGAGAATTGCATATATTTCTATAGCTAGGAAATTCCAGAGTTATACATTAACTCTCTCTGTGTGTGTGTGTGTGTGTGCGCATGCGTGCGTGTATACACACATATACATACATACATACTTGCAGTTACCTTGCCAATAAATGGCAAGATAACTGCATAGATATGGCAAAATAATATGGTATATAAAACCAATAAAAAATGGTATATAAAACCAATAAAAAATGGTATATAAAACCAATAACAAAGAGTTCAGTTTGCCTAAAAGAAATCATTAGCTTTGATTAGTAATCCTTGTTTGTTTCTTGCTCCCTGAAGGTACAAATATCCTGCTTGAATAAATTTAGCAAGTATCTTATCTTTGTGACATTCTCAGCCTATTATACAGGTAATCCTCGACTTAGTTCATTTAGTGACCATTCAAAGTTACAACAGCACTGAAAAATGTGGCTTTATGACCATTTTTCATAGTTACATTTGCAGCATCCCCGTGATCAAAATTCAAATGCTTGGAAACGAGTTCATATTTATGACTTTTGCTGTGTCCCGGGGACATGGGATCACCTTTTGCAACTTTCTGACAAAGTCAACGGGGAAATCAAATTAATTTAACAACCAGGTTATTAACCTATCAATTGCAGTGATTCACTTAATAACTGTAGCAAGAAAAGTCAATAAAATGGAGCAAAACTCACTTAACAACAGATATTTTGGACTCAATTGTGGTTGTAAGCCCGAGGACTACCTGTATTAGCAGGCAGCCTGTAAGAAGGACAATGTGCCTGTTTATCTTATTTATTCTACTAGATTCAGCTTGTATATATGTATTCTAATGATAAGCTAATTCTGGATAAGTGCTACCAAATGGCAAACTCTGCACTGAGAGGTGATGGATTCTCTATTAAATTAACATCAAGACAGAAGATTTAAATTGGGGGTTTGCTGAATCATTATCACTTCCCATTGTTCTACTTGGCACCATAGTTTCTGAGACAGATCATGACATATAGCCAAACAAAAGTGGTAACCTCAAACCACTAAGGGAACGTCCTAGTTGATCCCTTTCTTGAATAATAGTTTTTGAGGAAATTCTCTTCCTCAAAAGTAAACAAGCTTTATTTAATTAGAGCCAGTTGTCAAATTTACATAGTGCACAGTGCACAGTGCCAGCTGGCTAAGGAATTCTGGGAGTTAAAGTCCACAAGTCTTAAAGTCGCCAAGGCTGGAGACCCCTGCACTAGGCCATAAATTGCTTTGCCAGGATTGTTTAAAAGCTCAGAATTGATTTAGAGCATATAATTTGCTAAACCATAGATCATGGTTTCCATATTACTGTAGATGGGCAGTGGTGTTGGTCTATAGTGGTGAGAAATGAAAAGGAGTTTGGTAGTGATTTTTCTAACACTTTTTATTAAAAGACATGCAATTTCGTGAGCTGCTGTCCACTTGATCAGATCAGGGGTGGGTTCTACTTACCTTTACTACCAGTTCGCAATAGGGGCGCGCGTGCACTTCTGTGCATGCGCAGATCGTCATTCATGACGTCATTCATGACATCATTCAGGGTGGGCGGAGCCTCCTGGCAATTTTACTACCAGTTCTATAGAACTGGACAGAACCGGGAGCAACCCACCACTGGATCAGATGTAGAGAATAGCTACTTCTATCTTTATTTCATCAGATGCATAACCAGGCCTACAACTGATGAAATAAGCAGCAACTCACAAAATCATATGCCTTTTAAGAAGTATTAGAAAATGTATTACCAGTATTCTCATTTTTTTTAAATCAGAACATAAGGTTGTCAATCATACCTAATAAGAATAAGAAATTTCTCTAGCAGGGTACTCTAAGAATAACACTGATCTCTTCTGAGTTCATGGAATAAATAAATAACTTAGTTTGCTCAGCCCAGTTGCCTAGATGTAAAAATTAGGAGATTCACGGAATTTGCTTCCTAATAAATGTGTTTAGAATTGTAATATTGTAGAGAGATTATTCAAGGGAGAAAAACAGTATCTACTAAAATTCAGGATCTAGGAGCATCCAGGTTCATTTTAAAAACAATGCCTTTTCCATCCTGAGTAAAAGCATAAAGCTATTTATTAGTCTCATAATTAAAAAATGAAAATAATTTGCTGTTGCACATATTGGTAAAATTTCTCCACATATCCAAAACCTGAGGTGGTTCACTGAGCTTTGGCTTGTAGTTTGCAAGTTTTACTACTGCACTTCAAAAAAAAAAAAAAACACCTTTCACTTACTCTTGTTTTTGTACAACAATCAAAGCCAAGTCATTAAATACCATGCCATCAATATAGTCCCATAAGGAAATTATGGTGTTTTTAGGGAGTGGCACTCCGTAGGACTTTGTGTATCTATAAAGGACTTTATGTATCTATAAAGTCAAAGTGCCTGAAATGTTTTTTGCTCCTCTATCTTTGAAAGGATGATCTTCCATCAAATAGCCCTCAAATGTATTCTCCCATGAGTCCCTTTGAATCAGATTTGCCTATTTCTGTCATTCCGGGCACATTGTTTACTTCTCAGCCTGACCAAGGCAAAGACTTCTCTTCAGTAGATCTCAGCTTCCTACCAGATGATTTTGGACAAGATGGCAAACATGGCAGCAACAACAATAACAACATGCTGGAAGACTCTCAAGACCCTCAGTTGGGAATACAAGACAGTGGAATCTTCTCGGAGGACAGTGCGGGGTCCCAACAGAGAGATGAAAACGCAATTGAGCCATCATCTGATTTTTCTGGGACGTGTCCCTCCATAGCCCCCATAGCTCCCATGACTCCTGTGAACCCTACTTCAGAAGCTTCTGGCATTGTCCCACAGTTACAGTAAGTTTTACTCAAAAGCTAGTTGATTTGGCACATTGGCAGTTGTCACATTTTAGTCAAGCATGTAAATGAAAACCCAATTAGTGGGAGTAGTTAATGGCTCGGTGGAATATTCAGTCTTAGAATGTCGAATAATTGAGTAAGCTATGATTAAGTCAAGCATATGGCCTGAAGAAAAAGGCAAAGATGCATTTGTAAGTTTCCTAGGTAACAGTACCGAAGTGACTTGCCATTAACTTTCTAGGATGACTTTGCTTCCCAGTCTAGCGTATAACTCTGATATTCCCTGGTAATCTCCTGTCCAAATATAAATATAGCCTCTATATTTAAGTGCAATGCATTTTCTATCATATTATTGGAAACACAACCTGAGAGTGATTTTTGTATGCTTTTCGGCATACAATCAAGACTAAATTTGAAGTGATAAGAAAATCCAAGTATAAAGCAGGATTGTAGCCATATTAATAATTGGATGAGTAAATGGGAGTGGATTTTAAAACCTAATATAAGTCATAGAGAGACCTGCATTTCCATTATCCCCCTCCCATCAGTTTGCAATTCATTTTTAGTAAAAGTCACTTTTGATGGTTATTCACATATTGTGACTAAGCAATGCTTTTCTTTAACTATAACATACTGTATAGAATGAGCCAAATGCTATCTAATCTAAATTAGATTATGATTTAGAGTAATGTGTGATGTCAGACTTGCTGATAGATGCTTAGAAAACTTTCATTTTCAATTGAAAGTAGTAGAATATGGCCTGGTATCTATTAGCTCAATGGCAGGATCTGACGAACCTTGTACAGTAAACTAGATTGGGAAATGGGAGAAAAAATAATTCTGGAAGAGGACATGGTCTCAAAGAGCCAGATTTGACTAAAAGGAAGGAAATATTACCATCAGAATCCACAAGACTCTTCAAAGGTAGCAAGTTGTTGGGTGTATCCATGCCATAGTTGTGCCACTATCGTGAGGACTCAGTTGGGCATTTTATTGGCTGAGTGAAAATATTTTGGTGGCCTGCCAACTTCAGTTAAGCATTTGATTGATCTTTTTACTATGTTCTGAGGGTTAAAGAGAGCGTAAAATATTTTAGCAATCAAAGAAGTAAATTTCACAGCAGCCAGAAAGCATAGCCTCTCCCTCTTACTAAGATAGTAAAATGGGCCAGAAGCTAGGGCAAATAAATTTGCAAAGAAGAAGAGATGAACTTCAGTAGGGAGAACAGAAGGAGTTGATGCTATGGAGTTCTTGGTTCTTATTTGAGCTTGATTTTTTTTTTCTTGAGGGGTTTTGTTACCCAACTAAGTAATGTTGGTTGCTGAAGGGGATGTGTTCTAATCTTTTTGTTTCCTAGAGGACAAGTCTCATAATTTTAACAAACTGTCTAATGTGGACCTCACCCCATTCCTAAGAAATCTGTAAGGGGCGTGCGTAAGCGCACCAGCATACCTACCGTCCCTGTCCTACTGTCCCCATTTATTCGTACCCATTTCCTGTGTTCATATCCATGTTTATACTTATATCTGTTATTTCGTACATGTTTGACAAACTAAATAAAGTAAAAAGAAATAAAGAAATAAAAATTTCCTCAATCAGCCAGCGCTCAGATAAGCAGGCATCAATACTAGATAGGCAGAAAATAAAGTATCCTACCAAAAATAGCAGGGCAAGCTATCATATATATACACACAGAGAGAGAGAGAGAGGCAGCAAAGCCTACACTGACTCACACTGAAGATGTTACCTAATTGGGTAGGAGAGGGCTGGGGGTTGCCAAATTGGAAAACTTCTAAAAAGTATTGTTAGTAGAACACATCCACAAAGCAAATGTGACAATCTGCATCTATTTACAGAAGCAACAGAGCAAAACTACGCACTTGGAATTGAGAACAGCTCTTGTTCTCATTTCTTGCTTTGAGAAAGCCCATTTTGAAAAATGAGAACAAGATTCAGATTTCTGTAATGGACATATTGAGTAAACTTTTTTTCTATTTGTTTTTTTAAAAATAATGTTTATTGTTATTTCTCTTTTAAAAACAAAACAAACACAAACATAAAACATATATTTCCTTTTTACAACAGTTTCAAATCGGTGTTCTTCTATCATTTATATTTTTCCCCAACTTTTTTTCTATTTGATTACTCTCACAGGCTGAGGGCATCTAATTATCTATTGCTGCTAAATTCTCTGAATCTGATGGAAACCAATCATCTTCAAAAGACAACAGGGGACTTTTTATAAGTTATGGGAATTTATTAAGCAGCTTTGTATGCAAAAATTGCCAACAACTGTAAAACCATACAATGTTTTTGAGACATTTGTAATAACGCAGCATCATATCCAACATTTGATTAAAAAAAAGTTTTCCAGAATTGGATGGCAATTAAATACCATGCCATCAATATAGTCCCATAAGGAAATTATGGTGTTTTTCTTATAAGACAAGGTAACAGACCTACACAAAACAAAAGTGTCTTTTATAGTAAACTATCTTTTGAGTTTTTCAAACTACCCATGTTTCTAGTGTCTACTTTTTTAATCCAAATAATATTGGGCTGTTCCACCACTGTCTATTTCTTAACCCTCCTCTTCAAGCAGACATCAAGTGTCTATCAAATCTTTTGGCCTCTTGATTTTTTCACAGCATGGTTCAGCTGCACATCCTTCATCTTTAAGGCTGTTTCTCCACGTTTTCAGTTGTTTTGAGATACCCTTGGTAATTTGCAGGGTGGAGAGAAGGGAGATCTTGCTCACCAGCTGGCCTAAATAGTGACCTAATGAAGGTCTCCACACGCCTTCCCTTCTGATAAAGATGACTCAGTCAGTATCATGAAACAAGCAGCTCCCAGTCGAGCCATCCAGAATCCTGAATAATTACAAAGTAAGAGGGAAAAAAATATAGAGGGGATGATTAAGATGGGAACAATTCAATAAAAGGAGCCACAATTGTTTTCATTTTTTCCTTATCTATCCTTTGATTCTTTTTTCTTGTAATTAAACATAATTAAAAATGTTTTTTAAAAGAGAGCTATCAGAAGGCAAAAAGACAGTTCAGTACAGTCAAATTTTGGATTATTGTTATCATCAATTCTGTTGGGGACCAGACACTGTTAATCATATCTTTAGATTCAGCAGACTTCTTGAAAAGATTAAGCAGTATATGGATTTTTTACCTTGATAGCATCTTAGCAAAACTACTAGGAAAAAGTCTAGCCCCTATTGCTATCTACCAATCTTTGTCTTGGTAGAAAAATATATTAGCAAGAAATTTGCTTCCCCTGTTGCTGGTCCCAGTTTTGTCATTAGAAAAAAGGGTTTTTCCAGGACATAAATGTTTGTGCCACACTTAGACACAAGTAGGAAAATGCTGTAAGAATCAGCCCTAAATTATCAGAGAGTTGATAATCTCTAGATCAGGGGTCCTCAACCCCTGGTTCATGGACAGGTACCAGTCCTTGGCATTCCAGAAACCTGTCTGCGCAAACAAGCAAAGCCCCATCCACAGAATGCAGGCAGCGCACAAAACCACGCCCCCTGCGGTCCACGGAAAAACCTCTCTCCACGGAACCGGTCCCTGGTGTCCGAAAGGTTGGGTGCCACTGTTCTAGATAACACAATATAAATACCACTGTACCCACTAATACAATGTACTACTTGTGTTTTTTAATGACACAATAAAATAATATTTCTTTAAAAAAAGAATTCCAGAGCCTGTAGTGATTCTTGGAATAAAAAGAAAAATGAGAAAGAATCTATTTTTACTTATGTTATTGCACTCCTTTTATGTAAAGTTCCTAAAGGCTTTTTTTTGTTCCTGTTGTTCTGCCAGGAACATAGTAGCCACTGTAAATTTGGCTTGCAAATTGGACCTAAAGAATATAGCCCTTCATGCCAGAAATGCAGAATATAATCCAAAGGTAAGCACTAGTTCTCTCTCTCATTTAAGGATTTTTATTTCCACCTCTGAGGCTCCTTCTGTTCACCACCCCAACGATGCCCTTGATGTGATGTCTCGCTGCCTGGAGGCCGTGCGGGTCTGGATGGGGAGGAACAGGCTCAGACTCAACCCTTCCAAGACCGAGTGGTTGTGGCTTCTGGCGTCCCGATATAGTCAGCAGGTGCCATCGCTGACTATTGGGGGTGAATCTTTGCCCCCCACAGAGAGGGCTCGCAATCTGGGTGTCCTCCTGGACGCACGGCTGTCTTTAGAAGAACATATGACGGCCGTGGCCAGGGGGGCCTTTTATCAGGTTCACCTGATTCGCCAGTTGCAGCCCTTTCTGGATCGGGACGCCCTGCACACAGTCACTCACGCCCTTGTTACCTCCCGGTTGGACTATTGCAATGCTCTCTACATGGGGCTCCCCTTGAAGAGCACTCGGAGGCTCCAACTGGTCCAGAATGCGGCCGTGCGGGTAGTTATGGGTGCAACCCGTTGCGCCCACGTGACACCCCTCCTGCGCGAGCTGCACTGGCTCCCAGTGGTCTTCCAAGGTGCGATTCCGTGATTCCGTGCGATTCAAGGTGTTGGTCTCCACCTTTAAAGCGCTCCATGGCATAGGACCCGGGTACCTTCGAGACCGTCTTCTGCCACCAATAGCCTCCCACAGGCCAGTTCGCTCCCACAGAGAGGGTCTCCTCAGGGTGCCATGGGCCAAGTCATGTCGGCTGGCGACACCCAGGGGGAGGGCCTTCTCTGTGGGAGCCCCAGCCCTGTGGAATGAACTGCCCCCGGAAATTCGTAAGATTTCTGACCTCCAGGTATTTCGCTGCGCACTCAAGACCCTATTGTTCCGCCAGGCTGGGTTAGCAACATAATTTTTAATTGGATGTTTTAAATTTTTGGGGTTTTAAATTAAGCCAAATTTATTTAATACTTTTAAATTATTCTAAATTGATGTTTATTCTGTTTTTAAATAGGCTGTACACCGCCCTGAGTCCTTCGGGAGAAGGGCGGTATAGAAATAAAATTATTATTATTATTATTATTATTATTATTATTATTATTATTATTATTATTATTATTATTATTATTATTATTATTATCTGACCTCTATAAAGATGTTCCAGGCAATTGCTTGGTCCAAATAGACTCTCTTTAAGTTTGCCTTTTCCAAAGTGGCTTTATAATAGTATCCTGGCCAGTGAATATCTACTTAGAATTGCCATGCTTTGCTTGCTCATTTCTTATCTATATTCACTCCGCTATTCTTCTGTTATAAAAGGCTGCCTACGGAATGTAGGACACACACCTGACAATCCCATAACATCATCTCCAAGCCTTGACTAGCGTACCTCACTGAGCTCAAAAGATACAGTTGCCCAAAGCAGTATTTTTGAGAGTCTGGAAAGTCAACTCTAATTCCAGTTATATTTTACAACCAAAGAGGAACTGTTAGGCTAGTCCAGGGGTGTCAAACTCGACTTCATTGACAACCACATCAGGGTTGTGTTTGACCTCGGGAGGGCTGGGATGGGCATGGCTGGGGTGAGTGTGGCCAGTTCAACGTCACTCATGTTGGAGCACCTGTGCTGACCCGAGCGCCCTGCCAGCAAAAATGGGCTCCCGGCAGAGATGGTATTCAGCAGATTCTGACCAGTTCTGGAGAACCGGTAGCGGAAATTTTGAGTAGTTCAGAGAACCGGTAAATACCACCTCTGACTGGCCCTGCCCCCATCTATTCTCTACCTCCCAAGTCCCAGCTGATTGGGAGGAAATGGGGATTTTGCAGTATCCTTCCCCTGCCATGCCCAACAAGCCACGCCCAACAAGCCATGCCATGCCCAACAAGCCACGCCCACAGAACCGGTAGTAAAGAATTTTGAATCCCACCACTGGCTCCTGGAGTCTATTTCCAGCTGCGATGTCCTCCTGCAACCCTCTGTCAGCGAAAACGAAGCTCGGGAGGGCTGCCCGCAGCCCTTGCGAGCTCCATTTTCAGCTGTGATGGCCTCCTGCAACCCTCTGCCCTCCTGAGCTCTGTTTTCACTGGCAGAAGCACTGCGGGCCAGTCCTTCACTGTTTCCAGGGCGGCCTCGCGGGCCAGATCTAAGCACCCCAGGGGCCGGATCTGGCCCATGGGCCTGGAGTTTGACACCCCTGTGCTAGTCTATATTATCCCACTCCCTCTGCTATCTGACATATTCTTCCCTGCTTCTATTGAAAAATTAATTTCTGCCCTGCATATCTATGGAGATTCTCAATCATCCAGGTCACGGTTGTTCCAAAAGTGCTTTTTCCAAAAGGCAACTGGACTTTCTTAATTATTTTTTTTCTTTGAAAACGTTTCGCTTCTCATCCAAGAAGTTTCTTTACTTCTGAGAACTGAGAACTCGGAGAACCGAAGAAGCTTCTTGGATGAGAAGTGAAACATTTTCAAATAAAAAAATAAGAAAGTTCAGTTGTCTTTTGGAAAAACCACTTTGGAACATCCTGCTCTGCATGTTCCAAGCCAGCCCATACAATTTCTACATTGTTAATGAATGTGACTGAACAGTGGGTCTCAAACTCCTCTCCCACAAGTCAATTCACACATACCCCTTCAGGGTAATAGCTTGCTAGTTCTTGCTGTAACGACCAAGAAATACCACATTTGGCATCATCCAAAATGGCTCATGCCAAGATGGCGCTGCAGATCGCAGCCTTGGTGAAATGCTCTCTGATGTACACTGAGAGCATATACACCAAAGACAAATTCCTTGTGCGTCCAATCACACTTGGATCAATAAATAATTCTATTCTATCCCTTTAACTTTGGACTAAAATTTTTCTCAAAATTTTCATGATTTTTGGAATTAAATGATAATATTCTTTAGCACATTGAAGCATAGCATAGCATAGCATAGAGGTATCTGACTAGATATTTCAAGCCCACCCAAGGTTAAGAAAACCAAACTTTATTTTTTGAAAAAAATAAAATAGATAAGTCCTGAAAATTACAAAAGAAAATACAGTATTCCAAGCACATCACAAGATGGTGATGGAGTGCTACAAGTGAATGGTTTCTCAAAGAGATGTTGCAGATTAAGTTAACAGACTATCAGAAGATTATAAATAAAAGTAATAATTTCCTGTCTGTCTAAGCAATAGTCAGCACAATTGAGGTTATATGTTTCCTAACTTTGAGTAGAGAATAATAATGTTAGATGTTTGTCTAATTAAATGTCAGAACAAAGAAAGAAATCAGACCTAATGTAAATTTGACTAGATTTGGTGCCTATTTATTTATTTATTGTTTATTTATTGGTTCGATTTATATGCCGCCCTTTTCCGGAGACTCAGGGCGGCTTACAATGCGTTAAGCAATAGCCTTCATACTTTTGTATATACCTGCTTAGTAGGGCTTTCGGTCCCCCCTAAGCGGTGTTCTTTTTTATACAAAGTCAGCTTATTGCCCCCACAATCCGGGTCCTCATTTTACCTACCTTGAAAGGATGGAAGGCTGAGTCAACTTTAGAACTAAACTTCTCTTGAAAACTGCCAAGCCTTGGTCTCAATTAGCTGGATAGTCCTCACAGGCCTGGTAAATCCAAATATATCAGGACATATAAATATTTGAATAGATAAAAGGCTACATTCACATTTTATAGATTTTATTAATAATGTTTATAAGCTATATTTTATAAGGAGAGACCTATTTATCTAAGATCTTTCCCAGGCCAGTAAGATCACTTGCAACTATTGAAGCAATCTCAAAATAATGATAGAATGAGAAAGCAAATGTTTATGGTTTTCAATAAATAAACTAAATTTGGTCCAGTGGTTAAGGCTAGAAAGTAGGAGATTATGAGTTCCAGTCCTTCCTTAGCCCTGAAAGCCAGCTAGGTGACCTTGGGCCAGGTACTCACTCTCAGCCCAACTCGCCTCACATCTTGAGTTATTTGTAAAAAATAATAATAGCAAGATATAAATAGATATTCATACAATGACTAATACAGTTTTAAAAGGATTTTAAATTTGGATTTTTCTGAATTTTAGAGATTTGCTGCTGTAATTATGAGAATTAGAGAACCAAGAACAACTGCCCTCATATTTAGTTCTGGTAAAATGGTGTGCACAGGAGCCAAAAGGTAGGACTATTAAGCTTTACAAGATTCTTCATCTAAGGATAGGATTATTGTGATATAAGGCTAACGTCATTGGTTCAGACCATTAACACTCCATCTAGTTCAGGCTGGGCATCAGGCAACACTGTAATCATCCTAAGAAACAGCCATTGTCTTTGAAATGTTTTTAAGGCAGTATATACATGTACATTTATTGCATTGGGAATTGTTTCATTTATTTAGTGCCACAAGACCAACTAATGTATTGTCAAATATAGTGCCCTTGGAAATTCCACATTTAAAAAAAAAATAGAAATGTTCTTGCAATATTCCACCATACTATGGTATACTACCAAAGTTAATTAATCTTCCCAAAACTGGTACTTACCAGGTGTGTTGAACTACAGTTCCCATAAACCATCAGCTAGCTGTTCTGTCCCCGTCTTACACACGCACACAAACAGACAGCCAGGGGTTAAATAAATTGGCAGACAACCAATTCTTCCAATAAGATGCTTGGCAGCAACCCAGTAACTGCTTGCCAAGAACTTTTACTCAATAAACAAAATACACACAGTCAAGAATTGTCCAGTTCGTAAAATAAATCCAAGGCCGATAATGTTGTTTCCAGAGATGCAATGTGACTCGATAGTAGTTAGTTTTGTCCGTCACAGAGTCTGAATGGCCACCTTACCTCCTTTTATACCCTGTGGGGTGTGGTCCAGTGACTCAGCCTAATCTCTGGCACGCCTTTTCTTCTGTTGTGCGTGCTTATCTCTGCGACACTGCCAAGGATCCAGCCAAGACTCATTACCCTCATCACTGTCCATCTGTGGCTGCGTGAACGTGCTTGGCCCCGGCCCTATCTCTTGCCCTTCGACGGACACCGAAGGCATTGCCAGAGAGGAGGGTCCTGGAGAGGGAGGCCTTTCCAACTCCTCTCCTTCACTCTCGGAGTCCTCTCCTGCCAATGACACAGGCTCAGGTAACGGAGCCACAACACTAGCATGGACAGTGACATGGTTGGCTGAGTATGAAAGGCTTTGCATTGGTGATACCATTTAGCAACTGCAATTGGTTTCAAGAAAATAGCTTGGAGTCATTGTGCAGTGGGAAGCGGCATAAGCTTGATCTCCCCGAAAGTCCATATGACCTTACCTGGTCATTCCCAGGAGAAGACAAGCAGTCTGGTGAGATTTTTGTAACATAGGCGATAAACAATAAAGTCACTGACTGAGGCTATTTGAGTAGTTCTGTTGGCTGGTGCCTGATAGCACTCCAATTTTTTTTGTTCAGTAACAGGAAACTCTAATAGATATTAAGATATTACTAGTAATTGTGGTAGGGCAGAACCTTCAGAAGCCAAAATAACAGTTTGGGAGAATACAGGTGACTAAGAGAATTGAAATTACTCACTCTTGTCTTAAAGCTTTGCTGGCTGGCTTTGTTTTTTTAATGCTTGTTGTAAATTTGCAGTGAAGAGCAGTCACGACTGGCAGCCAGAAAGTATGCTCGCGTGGTACAGAAGCTCGGGTTTCCTGCAAAATTCCTGGATTTCAAAATACAGAACATGGTGGGCAGTTGTGATGTGAGATTTCCCATCCGCTTAGAAGGATTAGTTCTAACTCATCAACAATTCAGCAGGTATGTCTCCTCCAAGTGTGTGCAAGGGGAAAAGGCACCCGGAAGACTTTGGCTTCCATCATAACTGACCATTCACTGGCAGGTTGAGATGGTGGGAATTGTAGCCCAACAGTGCTTAGGACTTAAAGTTGGGAAAGGCAGATGAATATCAATAGTATTTCTACTGATTGTTCAGATAGGTTGGCTAAATAGTCTTGGGAGGCTGTTGAATTCTGAAACATGCCCTTTTGCTTCAGATCTAAATACTGGCATTTGCATTTTTTGCTGTTTTGTGGTACTTATGGCATCAACTAGCTGTCTTCTAAGAGAAAGCAGTTCTATTTATCCAAGCAAAATTGTTGTCCAGTTGCCCAATTAATCATCAGTTTGGAAACTCATGATTCAATTCTTTTTTTTCAGGATCTGAAAGATCTCTCAGGTTTGTGCTGTTTGCTGATTCTTAAAAAAATAAGAACTTGGTGCCAAAAAAAACCCCTGGGTTTTCTTACCAATCTAAGTGCAAATACTTTTTTTTTAACTTTTATTATGTTGACTGACTCTGATGTGTTTTTCTGAAATATTAAATCATCGTTATATTTTGTTTTTCTCTGCATCCCATTTAGGTTTGTTGCAAGAGAACCATGTAAAAACCAGATAGGATTTCACCAAATAGTGTTCCTTACTTGGGACACTTGTTTTGATTTATACCCCACTTTTCTATTCCTTTTGAGTTCTCAGTGTAAAACATTTAATTTTGACAGGAAGCATATGTGGTAATTGGGGTGTGGGCTATGAACATTCTAGAAAAGGTCAGCCATTCATAATTTGCAAGCTCAAAACAGCTACTACCGGAAGGCAACATGTGGATATTCCTGATCGCCCTCTATCTTTTCAAGACATTTTATCAACCTTTCTCTTTTTATGGGAAGATGAACACATTGTAACATATGTTTTTAACATTGTAGTTTTAATATGTTTTTATTATTAATAGGTCGACACATTGTAACGTGTTTTTAACTTTTTAATGGGAAGATGAACATAAGAATGTAAATGTAGCTCCTGTTTGTGACTCATTAAAGCAACAGCATCTGTTTCCAGGACTGCAGGTGCCACCTTAGAAAAAAGACATGGTTGCTTTAATTAGTTAGAGGCTACATTTGCACTTCTTAATATTTTGAAACACCTTTTCCAATACAATCTGAAGTCTACAATACTGTAGTCTGATTATATTGTTATTAGGGTTGTGTAATGTTTCAGATTGTAGTGTAATGCTTCAGATTGTATTGGAAAAAGGGTGTTTTAAAACATTAAGAAGTGCAAATGCAATCACTATAACTGATTAAAGCATCCGTGTCTTTTTTCTAAGGTGGTAACTGCAGTCCTGGGATCAGACACAATTGCTTTAATGAGTCATAAACAAGAGTTGTATTTATATTCTTCATGCATTACAGCTCCCATTTTATTTTCTTAGATTGGAGGTCTGCATGGGGCTCAGATATATTACTTGAAATATAAATTATACCTGAGGTTGCTACTTTGCTTTATAGTGCACAGTTACCAGTTTTCAAAGCATATTAAAAACTGATAGGGCAGAAAATATGGATGGCACTAAGAAATGTGAACCAGCATGATCAAAGTAAGCTGTGTACAAAACGTGAACCCAAAGCTATCCCAATATGTAAGGAATTTGCCATATAGAAAGACAGTATTCAGAGGGAAATACAGTGGTACCTTGGTACTCAGCTCTTTTGAAACTTGTATTCAATGCATTTTGACACAAAAATTTTGTCCCAGTACTCGTCATTTGTTTGGAACTCAACGCACAAGCTAGAACTTGTCGGTGTCAGCTGCTTTGTGACTCACTATATTATTCTTTATGGGAAAAATTTGTCTGGTACTCATTGATACTCATCATACCTCCCGATTAATGATGAATACTGAGGTACCAGTTAGCACCTTTGGTCTTCAAAGTCAAGGTATTCTATATTTTTAAAATGTATTCACTACAATTTATATGCCAGATACTAGAATGACTCTGGGCCATTTTCTAGAATATAAATAAAGTGATTGTAAGATGACTTTTTTTTAATCATGTGTTTTTGAAAGGAGATATCCAGTTAATTTAATTAAAAATACAGCCCTATTTAATTATGCAAACAGGTAACTTATTGATTGTAACTATAAAAATTGAAGTATAAAACATTTTTATGTGTAATTTTTGCTTGTCAAAGAGCAAACAAAGGAATCAGAATGTCATTAATAAAGAGTGGGAAAGGATAGAGTTAACAAAAAGGAGCTAGTAGCAGAGAAGAACAGATTATTTTTTAGGCACTGGAAATTCCAAGGCTATTTAAAAAAAAAAAAAAGAACTCTCTGAAAGATATCTTGTTGGTTCATAGATAGTAAATTTTGTCTACTTTAAATTTTTTTCCTGAAAATTGTAGTTATGAACCAGAGCTGTTTCCTGGGCTTATCTACAGAATGGTCAAACCAAGAATTGTACTGCTTATTTTTGTGTCTGGAAAAGTTGTTTTAACTGGTAAGTGATTAAGTTGTATAAAAACAACCTGTTTCTGCATCACTGAAACATACACAAACATTGCAGGGCATATCTATCTTTCCTACATTACTGTCGTTATCATCAAATGTATGTGCCGCCAAACTTGCCATTTAAGGAGACTCTGTTGGAGCTGGATGAAGCTATACTTCTAGACTGGTGTTTCTCAACCTCAACAACTTTAAGCTATGTCCACTTTCAGTTGTTGGGTACTGTAGTTGAACTGGCTAGGGCAATCCAATGGGAGAAAGCAATCCTGTAGAGGACAAGGCACCAAGTCATGTAGGATTTTACAAGTTAGTTATAGCACTTTAAATAACCCCTTTAAGACTTGTTGGCAACAAGTACAGGTCCCACAATATTGGTGTGATGTGCTCCCATTGAGGAGCCGTGGTAGTACAGTAGTTAGAATGCAGTATTGCAGGCTAATTGCATAATGCCAGGAGTTTGATCCTGACCAGCTCAAGGTTGACTCAGCCTTCCATCCTTCCAAGGACCCAGACTGTTGGGGGCAATATGCTGACTCTGTAAACAGCCTAGAAAGTGTTGTAAAGCACTATGAAGTGGTATGTAAGTCTAATTGCTCTTGCTATTGACAAACATGTACACAAAAAACTGTGCTCTGAATCATCTGCAGCTCACAAGTGACTTTCAAAGGTAGCCCATGTTGAGCACATTGCAGTAATCTAAGAAGGCAGTGATAAGGGCATAAGTCATTGAAAAAAGATCCTCCTACTCCACTATGTTGGCAACTGGTTCACCAATCAAAGCTGAAAAAAATCCATTCTGGCCACAGCCGCCATCTGCTGTTCTAGCAGGGACTGTGAGTCCAGAATCCCAAGTCACACTGCCTTCTTCAGGGGTAGTGGCATCTCATGAAGAGACATCTCTAGAACAGATAATAAATCCTGATGGACAATAGTAACTCCATCTTACTAGGTTTTAGTTAAGCCCATTCTCTCCCATGCAGGCCTTACCAGTCTAACATGGGGTAACAATGTAAAGTTGACCATTATCACTATCTTGATATAAACTTCCAAATTTTGGATTATCTCTTCCAATGGCTTCATATGAATGTTAAATAGGAAGGGTAGAGAACTGACCCTTGGGGCATCACCACCACTCAACACTCAGATGAATAGCCATTGGGCTGATCTCTCCTATCCCCCTGTCTACCAAGAAACATTGTAACAAAGCGCCCCTAATCCCCAACTATGGAGGGGAGTCTAGAAAGGATACTATAGTTGGTTTCAAAGGCCAGTGAGAGTTCTAAAAAACTACAATAGATGTATTTCCTACTTTATAACAAATTCACAATGAAATGTAATATAGGTGAACATAAGGTTCAAGTAGGGGAAAAAAAGCAACAATGGTAGATTAACAAAGTTAATTAGGGCATATGTAAAAAGGAACTTCTAATTGTAGTTGATGACAAACTGAATATGAGTCAGTAGTATTGTATGATGTGTCTGCTGACTTTAAAATGCATAATTATATGTTGCATCAGTAAAAATATAATTTCTAAATCAAGGGACGTAATATGTCTACTCCATTCACCATTAGTCAATATACATTGAGTGCCTCACAATTCTGGACATTGCACTGGCACAGTTGCACAGAAGAGCAATAGGGATGACTCTTGCCTTACAAGGGGAGATTGAGCAAACTCCATGTTTAGTTTGAGAAAAGGCATCTGAAGAGAGACAGTTTCCATCATCTGAACATGTCAAAGAACAATTCAAAGTTTTAAGCATCTGGGGATCTATTTATCTCCAATAAAATCTGCCCTCCAGTAAGATTGAGCAGAGTGGGTGCATTCCACGTCCTTTCAGTTCAAAAAAATTGTAATCTATTGCAGGGCTCTCCAACTTTGACAACTTTACGACTTGTGGACTTCAACTCCCAGAATTCCTCAGCCAGCACATGCTGGCTGAGGAATTCTGGGAGTTGAAGTCCACAAGTCGTAATGTTGCCAAGGTTGGGACCCCTGATCTATTGGGATGAAGGTAATGGGATTTCTATATTGTGCCTGCTCTCTGGAATTGCATCTCCCTGAAGATGTCCACAGTTCTTGTCCCAATGTTTTGAAAGTCTTTTAAAACTTTGCTTTGCTCCCAGGCCTGGCAGGGTAGGATGGCTACTGAGCCCCTCTCACAGGCTTTTTTTTTTAAAGGTATTTTTGGGGAGATTGTATTTGTCTATCTGGAAGTTCAGGATTTTTCCATTATTTTCTTTATTTCTGTTTTTGTCTTTTAATTCATCATGTATGCCATCCAGAGTGATCTGGAATCAGGCAGCCTCTAAATTTAATAAAATAAATAAAATGATAATAAACAAGTCATGGACATCTTCCTGTAGTCCCAGAACTCAGGATACAGAATAATAATCTTAAATTCAGAAATGCACCTTCCTATTATTAGGAACTTCTTTAATTCTATTAATTAAAGGCATTTGCATGTATCTGATCATGCACACCTATCTATTTTTATACAGAAGTCCAAATGAATTTCATTATTCTCCAAGTTAGTAGCACAGAACTGCAGGTTAAGAACATGTTTTTGTAGCAGGATGAAATTAAATGTAGTTAAAACTAATTCTAAAATTATTTTTAGGTGCCAAAGACCGTTCTGAAATATATGAAGCATTTGAAAACATATATCCAATTTTAAAAGGTTTCAAGAAAGTCACTTAAGTTATTTTTTAAAAAAATGATGTTTGTATATATTCTATGTTCTAGTATTTCAAACCTGTACATAGTAATTGAATGACATAGCTTCTTTCCTTAGTTTTGTCTCATTTAATGTTTATCAGATATTTGTAAATAGTCCAGAAAACATTTGAATATTACTATTCAAATACATAACATTAATAAGGAAACAAAGTTATGTAAAAGATTTAGATTTCAGCATATTGAAGATTAAATTGAATTCAGTGTTGCGTGACCTCCATGTAATTATTTTGCATAAAATAAACTAAAACATACAATGATTTATTTAATGATAAATAAATATGTAATTACCTAAGCAATTGATTGTAAGCTGCCTAGAGTGGTTTATTTGGCTTTGATTTCAACAAATCTTAATGAGATCATCGCTTACCATGTGTAAATCGAGCCATTTAATTATAGTTAATACTATGTCATCTTGTCATCTTGTCTGAAATTTCATTGAGTTCTGCTGACTTTTGATTTAATGTTTTAAATTTGAATTTGAGCTAATACATCTCACGGAGGGGGGAGCATGATCCAGATAACCACACAACTGATTAGACAGATAAAGATAACCATAACAGTTTGCCACCTTCTAAGGCAAAGCAGATTTCTAGCCCTATTGTAGAAAGTGAACCTTGGAGGAAAGGTAGCAAAGCACAGGCTTCCCATATAAATCCTGTGTGTGTGTGTGTGTGTATTTTATTTATTTATATATATAAAGTGTTTTTCTATCGAAGCACCTGTCTACCCCAATATGGGAGGGAGCGTACTGCTTCCCTTTTGCCTTTCAGCTCCAATCCAGGAGCCCTCAAACAGTCGCATTCATGACAACCATTTTATACCAAATTTATATTTTGCTGATAAAGAAATAAAGGGAGACTAGTATAGATCTATTTCAAGCTTTTTAGTTTTCATCAGCTAGCCATACCAGGTTCGAATCCAAGTAAGGGTATGGCTAGCTGATGAAAGCTAAAAAGCTTGAAATAGATCTATACTGGTCTCCCTTTATTTTTTTATGCAGCTTCTCTCACACCTGTATCATGCGTAAAACTCTTACAGAAGTAAAAAAAAAAATCTGCATGTTGCTTGGACCTTTTTTTTTTTTAATGTTCATCCGTGGTTTGAGAAATAATTTGAGGATGTTCACCGTGCACTGAATTCAAAACCGACCGCGCAAATTGAGCTTGCAGAACACAATGAAACTAAAATTAACTTGATCGGTCGGTGGTTTAATACGTCATGGGAACGCAGTCTTTTTTTTAAATCCTGCTTTCCGCCCAATGGATCGCTCTGTGCTTTTTCGACCTCCCGGGATAACATTGAGGCTCCAACTGAAGAAAAACCGCCATTCCCACTTCGCCTCCCTCTTCCGCGCGCCCCACTCCCCGCGCAGCCTCTCTGTGGTTTTGCTTAGCTCCGCCCCCGACCTTCACGTGCTGCTCTTCCCCCGCCTCCCTTTTTCCCCCATCATGCCTCTGTTTGAAAACAAAGTCCCACGTGACCGCCGGCCTGCCGCTAGCCCGTCAGCAATATGGCGTCTTCCAGGGGCGACGGTTGGGCCGGCCCGAACTGGCGGCGACCCGGCATTGTGGCCGCCGCCGCCGCCGAAGGGGCGGCTTACCCTTCGGAAGCGGAAGCCGGGGCCGAGGGCCTCTATGTGGCCGTGGAGCGCTGCCCCCTTTGCAACAGCACCCGCCGCCGCCTGACCTGCGCCAAGTGCGTCCGCAGCGGCGACTTCGTTTTCTTCGATGGCCGCGATTCTGAGCGGTGGGTGCCCGAAGAGGACGGGGCTGGGCTGGGCTAGACTGGGCTGGGCCCTGGATTGTTGGCCTTATTTGTTTGCCGTGGTGTCTCCCGCGGGCGGGGTCAAACGTCTGAAACGCAAAGGTTCCAGAATTCCGTAATAGGCATTTTTAAAGGGATTGGATAAAGGTTGCTCCCGCTTTTCTGCCAACCACATTTTAGTGTTTGATGTGTACTAAACCTCTGTGGCTAGCTTATGCTGTGGTGGATCGTGGGAGCTGACAAATTGGGTCAATTAAATTATTTGTGGTTAAAGTGACTGGACAAGTGTGATGCGCAGAGCCAGCCACTGAGTCTATAGTAGAACACGAGTCTTGTCAAGCGCGTTTATAATTAATTAAAGAAGGGATCTGTGAAAGCCAGTGGCAAAGGGTTCATTTCTCAAGTCCTGAGAGCTAGACTTTTTATTTATTTATTGGTTAGATTTATATACCGCCCTTCTCCGGAGACTCAGGGCGGCTTACAATGCGTTAAGCAATAGCCTTCATATTTTTGTATATACCTGCTTAGTAGGGCTTTCGGTCCCCCCCTAAGCGGTGTTCTTTTTTATACAAAGTCAGCTTATTGCCCCCACAATCCAGGTCCCCATTTTACCTACCTCGAAAGGATGGAAGGCTGAGTCAACCTTGAGCCTGGTGAGATTTGAACTTGCAGTAATTGCAGGCAGCTGGTGCTACTTAATAGCACTTTAGTCTGCTGCGCCACCAAGGCTCCTTGAAAAGAAATGAATGAAAGCTTTGGTTAGCGAAGGTGAGCGCAGGTTATGGGACTAGATAGAGAATCTGTGATGGCTGGATGTTCAGTTCTTCAGTAGCCAATACAATCAGTGGTCAAATATGATGGAAACAGATGTCCTGCTTCTTCATCTCAGGGTAACTTAAATGTTCTTAGAGATGATTGGCTGGGTTGCCAGTTTAGTCACTCCAAAGTTAAAATATAATATAAAATTCCACTGAACTCTGCTGAAGATGTTACCTAGCCTGGTAATGAAATGTTGGGAAACCAACCCACAAGAGAACGAACCTTCACTCTCATTAAAATATGTTTACATTTGGGTTCAAGGCATAAGTATTTTGCTCTTTGTTTCATTTATTTTGAGGAGAGGAGATACTGAGACCAATATGTAAGACTCTATATAACTCCAGGTGAGTACATTCACACAATATGCTAGATGGGGGTGTCAAACTTGCGGCCTGTGGGCCGGATGCTGCACTCACTGGCCACACTTGGTTTAGCGAAGGGGAAAAAGCTGCTTTTTCCATGATGACAATGTGCCACCGCACGTTTGACACCCCTGTGCTAGATTAAATTGAATGGGTATTTGGTCTCAGTAAATATATTACAGGTAAGTTGTATAAAGAGATTGGGGTTAATTGAATAAACCATAGTCGGTTCAGTAAAAACTGCTGAGATCTTCAGTGTTTTGACAGTCTGCTCTTGGCAGTCAAGTTATGTGCTTCCTTGCCTTTCTTAAATTGTGGAATTAGCTGCCATGGTATATCAAGTGATTTATTATGGCAGGGTGTGAAATGGGCACCCTTAGAAAATGGAAATATTAGGCCTTTTTGTAGCCCCTGAACCTCATCTTGGGAGCCAGATAACAGGTCTACAGATTACATTGGGTTGCAATTGATGATGTTAAATGCCAGCTCTGCCTGCACTAGATGTATTATCATCCATGATTTCATTAAGGATGAAGGGAAAAGCTTGCCATGTGTTGCTGAGAACTCAATAGGTAAGGGGGTGGTGGGGTTTCTCTCGGAGATCTATCTGTTTCGCTTTCAGATTTTGCATCAAGCATGACCCCAAGGCAGAGGAGATAGAGTAAAGATCATCTGGGAGATTTTCCAGGACATCAGAGGCACTGTTCCATAGATACCTGGATGTAAGGTACTATTTGTGAGGTTGCTTTGAGGACAAGGTAGGGGTCCTACTGTAGTTTCAACTTCCTTGCTGCACAGCTCAATCTCATGATATGATTGATGTTGGATTTTCATTGCTATTTTGTTATGGAGGACTTTAACATGCCTTCCTATGGTGGGAGGAGAAGCAACTTGTGAATTCTTAGACACCATGACAATCATTATCTTATTCCAGATGATCATAGACCCAGCTTAGATAAGCAGATAGCCATTAGAGCTGTCTTAGAACAGCTGCAATTTGTTATGAGGAAGAGAAACATTTCCATCATTCCCTTGTCATGTTTCACTCATGAGACCAAAATAGATTCTGTTGATTTCCAAACAACACATGGGGAGTTTCGTAAGCCTTGGAGGGCAATTGAGTCAAGGGCCTGGTTGATCTTTAGAATAAGAGGGCAGAGGCACCACTTAACAGATGGATTGTTCCTGAGTTGACCTCTTTGTAGTAACTGATCCATGAGGAAGTTCCATGTGTATTGAAAGGTTCCAGGATATAATGCAACAGAAAACATACTTAAAGCAACCATGGCATCAGACAAAGAATATCACTAAATATAGGTAAGAGTTTGCACCTGAGGTTATACCATGATGATAAAAGGGGTTAAACAACAAGTTTGTTTTTCTGTTATTATATTTCTGGATAATTGCCCAATAAGGTTTAAAGTTACTTGGTTACTGTTAGGGAAAGCCATCTAGGAAGCTGGCCTGTTGCAATGTTGTTAAGCATCTGTAGAATAAAATCTACAGATAATAAAATATTCACTTGGACACTGGTTAGGCAATTACTGCAAAGATAATAGAAGCTGTGCCTTGAGTGTTCTGCGATTGATTTGAGCTTGAGTTCCTGAGGAAGTGGACAGTGTTCTCTGTGTTGTTAGCATTACTTTATATGAATGAGACCTCTACCCTACATTATTGGTGAAAGCATCTGGAGAAGTCACAGGAGGTTGGATGCAGTGGTAAGTGCATCTTAGTGAAGATGTACTATCTCCTGTCTTGAAAGTAGTGATGGTGTGTCCATTATTTAAGAAACCATTGCTCAATACAGAATAACAGAATTGGAAGGGACCTTGGAGGTCTTCTGGTCTAGTCCAACCCCCTGTCATATACTATTCCCTACTCTATTTGCCTCTGGGCAAATGTTGTCATTCATGGCGTGGTCGAATTGCGTTAGTCTAAGGCACAATCAGAGCATTCACATTTCCAGAATTTTATGTTGTTAAACACGCTAATGCTAGTTTACACATTTATATTAGGCCACAATGACTATAATCTGTTGCTTTATGGCTTAGTACAGTAGGTCAATCAAATTGTAGCAGGGTTCTTATAACGGAGTATTTTTGTCACACAAAAGCTGACAAAGCTATGCTCCTGCTAAATGTCTAATTTTCTGAAGAGTTACATTGAGAAGCCTGTAAGAGATTATTCTTCTGATCCAGACTGATCTGTTGGTAAATTTCATTCTCAAATACTGCTTTTTCTATGATTCTTTCTTGCCTCAGAACAATCATGGAAAAGAGCCTATTGCTAAATACGGGTCCTCATTATTGACTGCTTTATACAGCAACCATTCTTGGTTATGCTGGTAATGAACAAGTAACTTTGTAACAATCCTTGCAGGTAAAACCTTCACAGTCTATTAAGCAAAGGAAAACAAGTAAGATCATAAGCAGTTGCAATTTCATTTAGTGATTCTTGCGTAATGACAAAGTTGCCAGTCCCAGTTGTAGTAACTAAATGAGGACTAAGTACTTCTAACTCCATATAGCAGTGCAGTGTAAGTTTACTTACAAGTAAGTTTCCTTCAGTTCAGTGGGTTCAGGAGTGTGCCCATAATTTCCCCACCACAAGTTCTTTAAGTGTGGAAAGACTGCTTTCAAGCATTTTACAAACAAAAATGTTTTTTTTTTAATTGTGTGCCACCCAGAGTTGGGTGATCCTTAAAATAAATACATAAACAGACCTTTCTGAGAGATGGATTTGTATATGCCTTCTCTTATTGATTGAGAATTTTTAACGGAAGTCAAATATCCTTGCCCTCTTACATACCAGCTAGATTGATAGGATGCATGTTGGATTTTAATTATTTATTACAAATACTGTGACTTTATTTTTTTGTCTATAAAACTTCCAGCATCTGTCAATCACAGTAATGAAATGCAAATATTAAATGACAAGATAAACAGCCAGCATCAAAAACATAAACCAACAAACAGTCATTACACATTTTTCTTCACCTTGATTTTTGAAAGAGCATTGTGTTCGCTGCTGAAAAATATTGTCAGCAGTGGGACAATATTTCTCAACTGAGAGAGCATTCCACAGAGATAGCATGGTTATAGAAAGGTGGGGGTTTTGTATCTTTATTGACTATAACTGGAACTCACAGGACCTGCTGGAAATTAGAAATGAAGAACAATATTTTCTTATACGTGTTTATGTAGAAATCTCTCCCCTTCTTTGCTGAATGATTAGGTTGTATTATATTATTACCTGTGGTTAATTTACCTGTGTTTTATTCAATTTATCCAATTTCCTAGGGTCACAGGGATTATAAACCAATCACATGGACTGTGTTTGTGTAACAAACTCTGCTAGGATATAATTGGCTAATGGGTCAGTATGTTATGTGGAAACAGCTAAAGGATTACTTCCAGGAAGTTCCATTAGGATTCTGAAGTCCTGTACTCATTAAGAGTAAATGTGTCACATTGAACATAGTGGAACTTATTTTTAAGTAAACATGCATAGCCTTACCTGAACAAAGAAAATCATTATTGTTTTATATTATGCATTTTTTAAACATAAATGCATATTTTCCATCAATAGCTTAAAATCAGATGTGCTAGAATCTTTTCACTAACAGTAGAATCTTTTTCACGGATAGGGGTATGCAAGTTTTGGTATATTCGGGTCTTTTTCCGTGTAAGATTGAGAGTATCTTGGCAACGTTTCGACGAGGTCCCACTCGTCATCTTCAGGCTGGTGTCTTCGGCTTCGTGCTTGTGCGAGGAAAGCGTGATCGGAGCTGCCATCTCTCTATAAATACTGGTGGGGAGGTGTGGGGTGCTGGCTTTGTTGCTGTGAGCGGGTTGGTTGCCTGTGTTGTTACATCTTGATTGGTTGATGGAGTTGATGTTTGCAGATTAGTCGGCTGTTTCGTAACATCCTGTGTGGGTGAGGTCCTTGGTGTGTGCCCATTAGTCTTATATAGCTATATAAAATTTGCCTTCCAAAATTCAGATAGGACAATCCTGTTTTATTGCATAAGTACAGACTGTGATGTTTCATAGTTTTGAATTATTTATTCTCTGGCATAGCTTTTCTAAAGACGAACATGGTTATACTGATTTTGGTGAGATCCAAGCTAAACAAGTTCGCAACTCTTGCTTAAGAATTTTAATTTCTAGTTAGTTTGGCGATCAGCCAGTTGGCCATCAATGGATATTAATCTGCATTCTGCCACTTCTGCCTAACAAGTCCAGTGCATATCCAAAAAATCCTTGTCATTTCGTTCATCTTGTTGCTTATCAGTAATTTGTTATTTATGAAGTAAATGACATGTTCAACATAGAATGTAAAAAGATAAAGTGATAATACTCTAAGCAATGCCTTTCTAACGTAGAGGTTATTCATATTCTTATTTATTGAGAAACACGTTTAAATGTTACTCTTTTCTAGGTTTTCTGAAAAAAAAGAGAGATTAAAGCACCTTAGAAAGAAACAGCATGAATTCCAATCTCAGTAAGTCCTAATTCATTCTATTTTACTTTATTTATTTAAGTTGATGTTAATATACAATCAACATAATTCATCTTAATCAATATAGAAATATATTTCTGGTTGCCAGTTAATGTTCTATTTCTTTTTTCACTCCTCCACTTTTTTATAGGTTGTTAAAAGCTATAGAGGGGAAGCAGATAGCAGATCAACTGGTGAGCATTGCAGAATTCTTTCACTTCATATTTCATTTCAACTAGTTTTCCTTAGTACTGTTATTCACGGTGCTCCGTCTCATACGGTATGAAGGTGATGGTGCCCATATTGTTGTAAATAACTGATTTTCAGCCCAAATGAACAAATGCTTAAATTGTATCTATAAAGTTTGGTTGCTTAAGATAGATTATATTGAAATAAATCTCTTTTGGAATATCAGAATACTGTTCTGACTTCACCTAATGCTGATGCTATTCCAGGCATTCCAAAAGTGTTCATAGCTCAAAATTGCCCTCCTCCAAGCCTGCACTCAAAACAAGGTGGTTTTGAGTGCAAAACACTTCCAGGAGTGTTATAGTATTGCTGGAAAACTTCCACTAATATTGGAGCAATTTATTTCAAACTCAAACCATTTTGTACACCATTATTAAATAGTACAATAGTCGGATATTTTTAAAAGGGTATCAGTTGCTCTTGATATAAGATATGTGCCTATTGAAAGTGGCACTTAGCTCCCCTGATATAGAACTTTTTGTTCCTGTCTGATATAGAACTTTTTGTAAGGATTTGACTGCCATCATTATTTGAGAGGGCAGCACTGTGGCTCAGTGGTTAAGATGCTGCGCTTGTCAGCTGGAAAGCTGGCAGCCCAGGTTCAAGACCCGAGCACCACGCACAGGTTGAGCTCCCGTCTTCACCCCAGCTCCTGCCAACCTAGCAGTTTGAAAGCATGCAAATGCAAGTAGATTAATAGGTACCACTTCGGTGGGAAGGTAACAGCACTCTGTGACATCATGCTGGCCACATGACGGCAGAAATGTCTTTGGACAGCGCTGGCTCAATGGCTGTGAAATGGAATCGAGCACCGTGCCTTATAGTTGGCAACGACTAGGGGAATAAAATCTGCAGGGATTCTTTTATCTTTTCTTTTTTACCTTGTTACCTATGAACCACGGTGGTAAAGTGGTTAGAGTGCAGTACTGCAGGCTACTTCTGCTGACTGCTGGCTGACTGCAATTGGTAGTTCAAATCTCACCAGACTCAAGGTTGACTCAGCCTTCCATTTTTATGAGGTAGGTAAAATGAGGACCCAAATTGTTGGGGGCAATATGCTGATTCTATAAACCGCTTAGAGAGGGCCGAAAACTGTAAAGCGATATATAAGTCTAAGTACTATTGCTATTGCTATTGCTATTTGAGGATCACTGCAGCTTGGCCTAGAGAAACTTTCTACTACTGAGAAAGTGCCTAAAGACCGACCAGATAATCAAAATCTATAACTTGCATTAGACAGTTTGTTTGATGTATCAGTCATTCTGTTGTGTAACTCTCTTCTGAAATGAAGGTAAAACTAAAATGCAGGCAAAACCAAAGTATAGATGGTTAATTGTGATATCAAATTTAAAGGTAAATCTAGGGCAGTGATGGCTAACCTTTTCCAGACCAAGTGCCCAAAGCGTGTGCACGAATGCGTGCATGCGTGCCCGAACCCCCAAAATGCAATTTGTGTGGCCCCCACACATGTGCCCCCTGCATGTGTGTGCGCCCCCTGCATGTGTGTGCGCCCCCCTGCACGTACCCTGCCCAAGCATGTGTGTGCCACCCGCATACACTCCATCCCCCTGCGCATACGCAGCAGAGACCCGAAGACCAACTGGCCTGTGGGAGGCGCATGTGCAGCAGAGCTGAACTGGGGCGACGGCTTGCGTGCCATCAGAGAGGGCGCTGTGTGCCACTTCTGGCACGCGTGCCATAGGTTCGCCATCACGGATCTAGGGCATCCTAATTACTTAACATTCCCTTTACAGTGGCTTCAGCAGCTTCTAGGTTGCTGATTAAACTGAATGGATTTTGGAAATTGAGTTAGCCATCTCTTTACTTTGAACAAAATGATTTTTTTTAAAAATGCAAAAATTGTTTATAGAAGTTCTAATAGATGTTCTTTTATAGATGCATGTGCAGTGCAAAGATCCTAATAGATATTCTTTTGCTTTCAGAGATGGAAAATAATGTCTTGCAAGATGAGAATTGAGCAGCTGAAGCAAACAATATGCAAAGAAAATGAAGAAATAGCAAAAAGTAAATGATGGTTGTACAAGTCTTTGCAGATTCCTGTTACAAAATTCCTTTTCTATGCCCATAACTTTTCCAATAACTGTACAAAGTTAATTTAACCAGTTTCATTAGCTTATCAAAGCTATTTTGATAAAAGGACTAATGGTGCAAAAGGTTATTGCCTTCATATTTCAAATTTTCCTTTTCACTCCTGTGCTGTTTGTTTGTTTGTTTGTTTGTTTGTTTATATGGTCACCCATTCACTGTTAGTGGGCAGCTTTCAAACAATTAAAAAATCAGTATAAAAGATTAAAAAAACAGTAACTCCCCATCCATATGTTTAAATATTATGTAAAATTGATTAGCCAAATAGGCCTACCTGGCATTTAGGGTGCCCTCAAGTGAGCTTCTAGAATTCTTCAATACTAGTAGAGGTTCTTGGGTAACATGCAACATTTTGTTTGAATATTTTTTAAATTTATTTTAAATACAAGTAATGCAAACAATACGAACATATATATAGACATCTAAATACAAAAAAGAAAAAAAAATACAAATAATACAATGCACCCCCAGAGACCATTTCCCCCCCTTATATTTCTTCTATCACAGCTAAAAAATATACAATATATTCTGAATGTGCCCTTATCCCCTCCAAAACAGCATATATTCTTGAGTAGGTTTATTCCCTTTGCCTTCCACCAACACTGATTTTATAAAATCCCCCCATATTTCATTATAATTGTTTGTTTTAATCATCCCTTTTTTAAATTTAATTTCTGTTAATTGTTTATTGCCACGCTTCAAATTTCATTATACCATTCATTTCTTTGAATATCCCAATTTCATCCCCAGTATTTAGCCATCACTAATCTATCTGGCATTATCAAATTTACAATCATTTCTTTTTTTGTTTCATTTATATCCCATTGATCCACCAGCAACAATAATGCAATTCTCGTGACATATCTAAATTTACATTCAAAAGTGCTCTAATTCCTCTAAACACCATGTCCCATATTTTTTGTGCACTATCACAATCCCACCACGTGTGTTTATATGTTCTGACCTCTTTCTTGCACCTCCAACATATATTTGTATATTTACCATCTATTTGATTTAGTTTACATGGTGTTAAATACCACCTAACATGCAGCAGTTTTAATACATAACAGGGTCAGAGCAGGTACATAATTTGAAAAACAATGTTCTAGTCCAAAGAGAATTATTTGACAGCAGTACGTATATATTATTTTATTATTTTATTTTTATTTTTCATATTTGTATACCGCCCTACTCCCGAAGGACTCAGGGCGGTGAACAGCCATAATAAATACAAATACATATAGAAGTTAAAAACTATTAAGAAACAGATTAAGTAATTTAGGCTCAAAGATTAAAAACATCCAAATTTATCTAAAGATAAATTTATATAAAATGTTTCTTGTTTTTATGTTCTTTCACATTAATAATATATTAAAATGTAGATAACATTTTAGGAATTATCTGTATTTTAAAGTGAAATCTTAAAACTACAAAGCAAGAATTCCATGGAAAATGCATCCTCAGCCTAGCATCCGTCTGCTTGTGTTGAAGAATACTATTAGGTAGTTGGATATATAATCTCTTTTATTCTTTTAGTTGTAATTTGTTCATCTATTACATTTATTCCTTGCTTTTCTACTTATTTGAGAGCAGCACACATTTAAAACAAAAATACCAGATTAAACTGTAGTATTAAAATCAATAAAATTAAAAAATCAGTTAATGAATAGAGATGCCTCCTTACTGTGTTTTTAAAATACTGGTGCTTTACGGCTCAATGTATCTCCCTAGAGAGGACATTCCATAGTTTGTGAGAAACACAGCACCCTTTCCTAGGTACCATGTAGATTAACCTTTGAAAGTGAGACATCTTCAAAGCTTTCTCTACTACTGATTTGTGTGATGTGGCAGTGGTCCCTCAAATAATTAAGCTCTGTGGTGCTTGAGGCTTTAAGGGTCAGGATCTTGAGATGTAACCAAGATATAGATAACCATCTCTGTCCAACCTACTCGAGAAGGGTTGTAGCTGTTGTTATGGCGGAAATTGTGTAAAGATGATCCTTACCATAGTCACATCTTGGAAATGCAGTGACAACTAAGCAGGAGTGGGCTTCAAAAATTTTAGCAAGGGGTTCTCTGCCCGGTTGCTGGGTGGGCATGGCCATGGTGGGCATGAATTAGTCGGTCTCCTGCACCACGGTTTGGGGGGGGGTGTTTTTGCCCTCCCCTGGCTCTGGAGACTGCTTGAGCTTCTGGGAGGGCGAAAACGGCCTCCCCAGGCTCTGGAGGCCCTCTGAACTTCCCGAACTTCAGTAGGCCCGTTTTTTGCCGTCCCCGAGCCTCTGTATGCACCCTGCACTTGCCTGCATCCAAAACAGGCCATGTGGGGACTACTGGGAGGGGCGAGGTGGGTTGGGTGGGGCCAGCCAGGAATGGGATTTCGGGATTCTCCAAACTGCACAGAATCTTAGCTAGAGGTTCTCCCGAACCCTTGCAAACCCCCAGCAGCCCACCCCTGCAACTAAGGATCAAAAGCACTACCGGATTGCTATTTCAACAAGCGTCCAAAACAGGCTGAACATCAATCTCCCTTCAGTTCTCTCCAGATCAGCAGCTAAAATGTTGGGATAACTCCCATCAGAGGAGTATTTCAATAACCCAGATTTTGCAAGATTTATGAATGCCGTCTACCTTGAAATCTTAATAACTTCCTGTTACTTCTGCCAAATTTTCTTTTGATTACGGGGAGGAATGTGAGTAGACATGCAGACCAAATACTGGGCTGCAGCTGGCTTTGTTTTTCTTTTCTAGGAGGCTCTTTTGGGCCTAGACGTTTTACTCAAGATCAAGATAATGCTGGAAGCAGCTGCTTAGCCTTACAGCCTGTCAATTTCTGTTTTTCTTTAAAAAGTTTTCTAATGTGATAAATTAGGTGGGACAAGGTAACATTGGCATCCTAAAATGTTATGCTGTGGATTTCAGATTTAATCCTGCTTGGAGATCCCAGACGCTGCTTTATTTCACAGTCATGACATATTTCTACTAATGATAACAATGTATAATTTTGTTTATCTAGTAAAATAATTTACTCATACATTATCCATTGAGTAATTAGCTGCGCCATTTTGAGGGTCTTCCAAAGATTTTACTTTTGCCTTTGTTGTTCTAGATTCAGAGTGGCTTCTTAGGATTAAAGATGAGAACCAGAAACTTTACCGAAGGGCTCAGCGCCATCAGGACAAGAAGGAGAAAATCCAGAGGCACAATCGCCGGCTTGGAGAGCTAGTAGAGAAGAAGAACTATGACTTGAGAAGCCATCATGAGCATCTGGCAGATCTCCGGCGGTCACATGTCCTGGAATTAACTTCTGTTATATTCCCTATTGAGGAAGTGAAAATCGGTCTGAGGTGAGGAGGAGGAGGAGTGTGGCTGATGTGGTTCACCATATATTCAGGAAGTGGTTCACTTTCATAGTCTATATAGGAGAAATGAGATTTATATATATATATTTGTAATGAGGGGCGAAAAACCTGGAGGCTGTGACGCAGCAGATGCACTGAATTGAGATGTTCTCCTCTACGGTTATTTGAAAATAAGCCTCACTGAAACCAATTGAATTTACTTATTTAAATTGAAGTGTCTGTTTAATTTGTATTCTCCCTTTTTTATGGTAGTTTTTCCTCAAAACACTGAGGTGATTAGGCTGAGAATGCATTACTGGTTTAGGATATTTGGAAGCTTCAGTACCATACAATATTTGTTATATGGTTTAGCAAATACCTTATTGTTTGGAATGAGTCAACTGAACCCTTGGATAGCTGGCAGAGTTGGAATGCTGGGACATATCAACCACAAATACAGGTAGTCCTTGACTTACAACAGTTCGTTTACTGACCATTCAAAAGTTACAACTGTGTTGGAAAAAATAACTTACAACCATTTTTCATATTTACAACCATCGAAGCATCCCCATGGTCACGTAATCAAATTTCAGACACTTGGCAACTGACTCGTATTTATGACGGTTGCAGTGTCTCGGGTTCAGGCGATCTCCTTTTGCAACCTTCTGATAAGCAAAGTCAATGGGGAAGCCAGATTCACTTAACAATTGCACTGATTCACTTAACAACGGTGGCAAGAAAGGTCGTAAAAGGGGGCAAAACTCAATAAATGTCTCCCTTAGCAACAGATTTTTTTGGGGCTCAATTGTAGTCTGTATACAAGACTGAAACCAACACGTTTGCATAGAAGGGACATAATTAAGGAGTTTCAGAAGTATTAGTTTGGAAAGGCCAACACTGGCCTATCACATAGGTAGCTAGCACTCTATTTATCCCCTTTTCAATAGAAAGCATTTCCTCTATACTCCTTCCTTAAATGGATTGCTTGGGCTGGAGCTCCTAACCTGTTGTTGAAGTTCTTGGATAGTTATAGTCTCTTCTCTAAGTAAGTTTTGCCGCCTGGTTTTCTCCACGAGTAGCAAATACTTTGAAGGCGTAGACTCTCTTTTTAGATCTTGTCCCGGTTCTTCTAGATTCTTCTCTTGCAGTCTTTGGCATTTTCACTTTTATTTCTGCAAAGCTCAACTGGTTGTTTAATGTTATCTAGTTTGGTAATGAAACACTTGCAGACAGACTAAGTCCAGAGAAGACGAGGATTCCACAACTCATAATCTTTTCTCACCATCTTTGATGATTCTGCTAACTTTCTTTTATTCTTATTTGATATGTCCTCTATACTTTTTTCCTTTTCTACTAAAATGGGAATCATAATTACTGTTCCCCATCCTGGAGTGGTGATTTCTCAAAATGCATTATTTGTGGAGATGTCCACCACTTCTTACCAGACCAGGCTCAAAAGTAGGGCATGCTTTGCTCCTGAATACAACAGCTGAGAGTAAGGACTCTTAGCACTCAGTATGTACCATGTGTTTTCCTAATTCTGTTCTAGTAAGGTGCCCAACTGGCACTTTCCTATGTTTCATAGAATCAGAGTTTTTAATGATTGCTTGAAGTGCTTTAAATACCGTTCCAAGCATTTGCTGTGAAGTGTACCAGTAGGGCAGGGGTCTCCAAACTTGGCAACTTTAAGACTTGGGGACTTAAGTTCAACTCTGGGAGTTGAAATCCTCAAGTCTTAAAGCTGCCAAGTTTGGAGACCCTTGCAGTAGGGCCTTTATATAGAGGTGGGGAACAGACAAGTACTTGCAAGTGTCAGGAGCTACTAGAAATATGAAAATGCAGTAAAGCAATTTATTCACATTTGGCCCTTCACATTCTCAAAGAGTGAAAAGTGAAATAAAATACACTTTCCCCTGAACCTCCCGTTTGTCATTAGATTATAGTGTCCATTATGAGAAATAAGCTATCTTGATAGTAGAGTTCATGTCCTTTGGTCTTTCTTTCCCCAATTTGGAATCTTAGATTCAGCAGCGTTTAGGCAGTCCCTTTCCTTTACAAGAATCATCTGCTTTGCTTCCCATCTGACATTCTTGCTGGAGGAATTCCTCAATTCTTCATTAAGGAAGTGAGTTATTTCATGGCCAAGCCTCTTTAAAGAGTTTTTTTGGGGGGTGGGAATTTACAGGCATGAATAGAGAAGGTTAGCAGCTGTTTCTTCCATCTTTGGCTTGCTCTGCACCATCATCCGCTTGCTTGCTCTATCCTTAGTTATTCCGTTTTTTCCTCCCTTCTCAGAAGTTCTTGTCAGTTCTAAGCTCACCAGGCACTGAGTCTGAAAGTATTCATTCCATAATAATGAGGCTTACTCCCAAGAAAATTGGTGCTTTTCCTTCCCTGCATAAATGGCACAAAGCTGCAAACATAGTTCCTTTCTGTAACTTTTTAAAAACAATCACACCTCCTCCTATCATGCACACTCTGAAACTTCTTTCTGGAATACTGAACTACTGTGCAATCCTTTTAGTAACCATTCCTTGCCTTTCCTCTAGGGATTCCACAGATGTCTCTTCAGAGAGCGACAATGCCATGACCTCCAGCACAGTAAGCAAGCTTGCAGAAGCCAGGAGGACCACCTACCTTTCTGGGCGATGGGTGTGTGATGACCATAATGGAGACACCAGCATTGGCATCACAGGACCTTGGATAACTCTTCCCAACAACGGGGATTATTCCGCTTACTACAATTGGGTAGAAGAGAAGAAAACCACACAAGGACCAGGTAATAGTCATTTAGGTATCATTTAAACTTTTTTTTTAAGTCTCAAGGTTCTTCATCATCTTTTAAAATTAAGATTGAAATGCCAATTTGAGGATCTTGCCCTGATATTTGGCTTATTGAAATGTAAGAAAAGCACATAAACTACCTTCTGACTGAGCCATGATTTTCATGGGGAGCCTAAGAATTGCAGAACATGATATTGGCCAGAGAGTTTCCCAGAAGCATATTTTTAGCTCTCATAATTGAGAAGATGATAGCTCATTAACTGAGATTACATCTCAGAAATCTCAGAAGCAAACAAATGGTCTGATCTCAATGCTTTGGCAGCCCTGGGTGCAAAAAAAAAAAACCCAACCTCTTAGGGATCTCACACAAGAACTTTAGTGGCACTTGGTGATCTTGTGAGACTTTACAAATGTTATTTTTAAAAAGTGCTTTTTATTTAAAATTTGAGATTCCACAAACAGCATTCATAGTTGTTATGGGTACTTTGTTGTCCATGAGTAGCATATTGTGAATTCTTGGACTCTGCCTTTTCTGGTGTGGCCATCAAAACTGATTTTTTCCTTCTGTTCTAGACATGGAGCATAACAATCCTGCTTATACCATCAGTGCTGCTTTGTGCTATGCAACTCAGCTTACTAACATTTTATCACTTATACTGGATGTCAACCTTCCCAAAAAGCTATATAACAGGTAAGGAATCTAGAAGGAGCTAGAATACATGCCACAACGGTTATTAAGAATATTATGTTGAATGACAGGCTCTAGGAATTGTAACCATTATAATATAGCACATTATATACACCAAATTTCGAGTTCTAAGATTTCACAGAAATACTACAGTAATAATTGTAGGTTGACAGACAGCCAAGTATGTGACTGGATTCAGAGATGGTGATAAAACTTTAGAGGTGGTGGACAGCAAACCCTCTTGTGACTTCATTTTTTAAAATACTGACCGCCCAGAGCTGCAATATTCCTAGCATTTATATCATTGGAGTAGGTGTTCATTAAATTTCATTTCACACACACAAATCTCAAATGGGAAGTTTCCTAAGCCTCTGCAAAAGTTAAACTAGAGAGACGAATCCTTAATATTAGGGGTTGTTTTGTGAAATGGTGTTATTGATATTGATATTGTTATTGATATTGCCGTATTTTTCGGAGTATAAGACACACTTTTTTTCTCCTAAAAGAGGCTGAAAATTTGGGTGTGTCTTATATTCCAAATGTAGCTTTTTCGAAGCTTTTTTTCAGCCCAGTGAAGCCTTTGCCTGCTCCCTCCGACTCTCAGCTGTGAAGTTTTTTTTCAGCCCTAACAAGGCACTAGCGAGTGAAGCGATCTCTGTGGTTTGCCAAAGATCCAAAGATCAGTTGTGCTTTAGAAGCTGTTTTTTATCCCCAAACGGGGGATAAAAACCAGCAAACTAATGTGCTGAAGCTGACCAGACTAAGGAGGCTAGCCAGATGAATACCTGGTAGGCAGATTTTTTTTTCCTATTTGCCTCCCCAAAAACTAAGCTGCGTCTTATACTCCGAAAAATACGATAATTATGCTCAATTTTGCAAACCAGTATGATTGGATGTTAAAGAGGAAGGGAGGAATTATATACACAATTCTGTAATAGTGGCTCTTTTCTAAAATGGAAAATAGAACTAGATGAGCCTTGTTCTTTTTCTGTTAGCTATTCCAACAAATCTATTTTGCCAAATCAGAGTGATCCAAAACATGTTTGTTTATTTGCCTTGAGTCCTTGTTTAAGATTTTATGCCTTAATATTTGCACCTTAATATATTTTGCAGTGAGTTCTGCGGAGAAAATCTTAGCAGGAGGAAATTCACCTGGGCAGTGAAAAAGCTAAATGCCAATATCCTTTACCTTTGCTTTTCTCAGGTAGTTTTCATTTGGTTTCTTTTCCTTCTTGGAAGGCTTTACATTGTTTCCTCCTCATCTTTCAAGTCCTGCCTGATGAGTATTCTGCTTTCCTTCATATGCTTTTCCAGCATGTCAACTTAGATCTTCTGCACCCTCTACATACACTCAGAAACTTGATGTACTTGGTCAGTCCTGAGACAGAACATTTGGGAAGGTAAGAAACAATTCAATAATAAATGCCCCACTTTCTTCCCTGCCATCACTAGCTTTCTAGAAGAGCCTCCTAGTAGCCCTTCTCTGTGTCAGATATCACTCTAAACAATAGTGAAGTTTGATAAGCTACTGTATATTCAATACATGACACAAATAACATTCAATCTGACCATTACCGACTCTCCCAAGTCAGAGAGAAAAAAGAATTTGGTCCAGGAATATGGGATGGGCCTTTTCAATTGCAGATATACCGTGTTTCCTCATGTCCGGATAATAAGCCCAATTGGCCTTTTGAGCACATGCGGTAAAATAAGCCCTCCCTCTGAAAATAAGCCCCCCCCCCCAATACTTAAACGCATGTGCAGCTGCCGCGCAAACAACACAACGTGAGGAGACAAGGCCGGAGGGGGGGGGAAAGGGAGGGGGAACATGCCCCACGCACCCCACACGTACCTGCCATCCATGCGGAATGGCCTTTTTGGCCACTTGGGAGAAGAAGAGAGAAAGGAGGCAGTGTGAGAGAGCCCATTTCTGACATTCTTCTCCTCCTGGGTGGCGACAGCGCGTTCAGTTCCCCAAATCTGGCTTGCCGATCTCAACCTGCGAGGGGCAGTGGCAGGTGGGGAAGGAAGGAAATGGAATGGTGTGTTTTGTCACTCCCTTTCCGCCTACAGACGGACGAAGTGTGCGAGCAGGTTAGTGTGTCTTCAGTAGGATTCTACTTTTTTTCTTAATATAAAATGCACTGTGAATAGAACATGGTCAGACTGCTCTCCCCTTAACTACCTCCGCCACGCTCAGAGGAACATATCAAAATTGTCTTCTCACCGAAAGATCCAGACTTTTCTTTCTACAAGAGGAACTCTGTTCTTGCAAAGGTGCCATGACTTTAACTCTCAAAGCCCCTCGCCGGAAGTGTTTTCTTGGATAGCGTGAGCCCCTGCCTCTGTGGCAGGCTTTCACCGCGGCCCTTGGACCTGCAACTCTGATTGGGAGCGCCTGGCAAATCTCTCTCTTGCATTACCTTTCAAGGAAACGGGCCTCCATCCTGGACGCTGTGCCTGCCAAGTGGGCCCTTCATCCCCATGCAGCCTGCGAGTCACTGGGGGGCTGTGTGGAGACACGTGAGGGAGGAACTGTGGGCGGAAAGAGTGCCAAAGCATACCATTCTATTTCCTTCCTTCCCCACACCTCCCCACCTGCCACTTCCCCTTGCCGGCTGAGATTGGCAAGCCAGATTTGGGGAGCTGAACATGCTGCCGCCACCCAGGAGAAGAACGTCCGCATGGATGGCAGGTGCGTGTGGGGCATGTTCCCACCCTTCCCCCCAGCCTTGCCTCTTCACCTCATGCTGTTTGCACGGGAAACAACGAAAAACCTGCCACGATTGCTGGAGGCAGCGGCCTGAGCGGCACTGGGGAAGCAGCTGTTCGGCGCTCTGGAGCCGAGGTTTAGGGATAAAACCCCCTGATAATAAGGCCAAGGCCATATTTTGTGGGTCAAAAGAAAATAAAACCCTGTCTTATTTTCGGAGAAATGCGGTATTTTGTTCAGGAATTACAAATTTCTAGGTAAAATAGTAGCAGTAACTTTCTGACTTCGGTTAACAGCTTGCCTATTTTTCAGTTTTTCTCATTGTGACAAGGGATTGAAGTTTGCCTCAGTTCTTCATGAATTGCCATACCCCATAGAAAAATAACACTTCTTATAACTTGATGCTTTATGGGATCTTCCAAGTATTTATTCCCTTATTCTGTGACCTTTTAAAAAATTCTTGCTCCATCATGCAAGCTTCCTCTGATGAGGTTTTGAGTCAGTTGCTCAGCCTCAAGTGTCACATCCTCAGCGTCGACTCTTTTACTTCAGCTCGTACACCTTTAAACTTCAATGTGTGCTTATTTTTTTTCCATTTTTGCTACCAAGTGTGTGATCAAAGCATCTCTCTCCCTGCCCTCTCCCCCTTCCCCTCCACCAATAGGTCTGGACCATTTGAGATCAGTGCTGATTTGGAAGATTCCATGGAGTTTGTGGACCCCAGCGGTGCTGGTGAAACAGATGAGAGTGGAGATGAGCACATAAGTGATGAAGAAACTGACCTTGGAACAGACTGGGAGAACCTGCCCAGCCCACGGTTCTGCGATATCCCCTCCCAGCCATTAGAGATGCTGCAGAGCCAGAGCACGCAGGCTTCTCAACCGATAGCCAGCAGCAGTGCTGGTGGCATGATCTCCTCAGCAGCAGCCTCAGTTACCTCTTGGTTTAAGGCGTACACTGGACACCGCTAAGAAATAGTTGGGCCTCTATGACCCACCGTCACTGTAGAAGACTTTGTGAGTCAGTTCGGTAGTGCCTGGAACAACAGGGGGGTTCTGACATTCATTTGCAGAATCCCCAGCAACTCTTCTTTTGCCCAAGGTGTAAGTTCCTCCCATTTTCTGACACCTGCAATGGAATTCAGCAGTTCTGAGTCACAGTCTGTGTGTGTGTGTGTGTGTGTGCTGAAGAGGAAAGAATTACCTGCACATTTTGTTTCTAGTCTGTATTTTTTAAAAGAAGCTAAGAAAGGCAATCATTTGAAGCATGGAAACAGGAAGAGAATCATGGAAGAAAGCAATGTGAGAGTCATGCAGATGCTTAAACTCACCCTGGTCAATTGGTTCTAGCAATGCCCTTGGACTTCTTGGTTTTATGGAGTGTGCATCATTTACAAACTTACCACACAAATGTACATTTCAGGAATCTTCTGGCAAATGATGCTTTTTTAATGAGTTTCTAAACTCTGTTGCCATAATTTTAATACAGAAAACCATCCTTTAAAAAAAAAAAAAAAGCTACTGGCGATAATTATATCTTTTGTATGTGTTGCATTCATCCATTAGAAGATCTTTCTGAATATTTTTCACAGTGAGCCATCCAGAGTTCCCAGGCTCCTTGTTCTAGCACCCGACACCAAAGAAAGGCTGGCCCATAATAATTTGCAAATATAGAGCCACACTGCTGTCGTCAGAAAGTTTGTGTCCATACATTCTTTCATAGGGTGGAAGCACACTTCTCCTGCAGTTTGGTTTTGTGTACTACTTGTTCTCTGTCTTTTGGAAAGCTGGCACTCTGGAGATGAGAACATGAGGACTTCTCCTCCTTTTTGTGTCCCGTTAGTGGATACAGCATGTTGTACATAGAATTTAAATCTGTTGTGATTTTGTTTTGAATTTTGGAGGGATTTTGGAAGTAAAAAAGCTTTCCATTTTCATTGTATTATTCTTGTCCATCTTTCTTTAAAGTGGGTTTATATATTAGATCTATTTCAGATGCTTCCTGGGCCGTCAATCATTTTGCGTGTCTGTTGGTGTTTTTCTTTGTCCGCACAGTGTTGGCTGTCCATGCTGAGATCAGAACTTGGGGGTTAGGCAGTTTTTCATTACTTTTCCCATTAAAAAGGACGAGGGACAGTCTTGCAAGTCAGGCTAATTTGAGGATTCATCACATGTCTTTCATACCAACATATCTTTTACTTGATCATAAGAATGATTGATTCATTGAGCGCATCTTCCAAACCATCATGTGTGAAACTCCAGAGGAAAAAAATATCCGTAACCGACAGGTCTGGGTAGGGATTGCTTATATTGTCATGGAGTAAGGAGAAAATGGCATGTAGTCATTTGCTCCTTCATAAAGCAGTTTCTGCCTTCATATTGCCTAGTGATCCAAAATAAATTGGATAGGCAACTATAGCTTCTGTTCCATCATTTATATGCTGCCTGATTTGTGGACTCTGTGTTTTTAGTTAATAGTCCGAGCAATGTGAGTTTTAGATGTTTTTCTGCCTTGGAGCCAGTTCAGCCTTTCAGCAGAGCAGGTACACCCATAATGTGGAATATCCTCCCTGGAAGAATGCGCACACAATGTTTGTCCGACATTAATGCTTTGGCGATTCTGTGTTGGGCGCTTTTTTCCTATATTACAAAGATTTGCAATTATGCAAGAACTTCTAAATTGGCAAATAAGTTTTATTCAGTGTTTCTGTGATGGTCTTCTATTTAAGCCTGGAGTGCATATAAGGAATTGCATAGGGTTTTAAGTAACTTTGCTATGCAGATTCCCCCCCCCCACCCCCCTCCCCCCTGGCCAAATAAGGATTTATCTGGAGGATAGGGAAACTACTCCTTTATATTTCTGTTGCTAAACCAAAGATTGCTTTAGTTAGGTGTTTTTATTTAAAGCCAGATGGTGTGATTCTTCCATTCTTAAGACTTAGTATAGAAAGATAGCAATACAATGATCCACAAGCATGTCTTTACTGGCTTCTGTAGAAGCCATGTCAATTTACAAAGTGGCAGTGGATGGAATTGTGACTGACTTTGGGCTTTGTCTCAAAGATCTTTGGTGACATGGGATTGTCCTCTTACCTACTTCTGTTAATGAAACAAGTGGAAATTTGTAAGAAGAAAGGCACTTTATTAATTGCAGGTGATATGGGCTGCGTAACTTTGTGACTGCAGGGGAGGATCGCAGACGGGCTCTCAACACTGTAAATACCTTTGCTTTTCCTCTTCTGTTGTGTGTTCCTTTTTTCTCCTGCTTATTTTTGAATGCAAACACTTGGAAATCATTTCTAGTGAACTGAGGGAAATAAGTTTAAAAGCCAGTAAGCCATGAATCCTTTTTGCTTGTCAGTTTCAACTTCTTAAAATGGTGCCTCTCTCCTTCAACAGTGGAACATTGCTTTGGAGGCCACCAAAAGGCATCCAAATAGTAATAAGGTAGGGTGCTGCTCCCTTTCAAGGAAAAAAAAATGTATTTTTTTAACATTTTTACACTTCTAGAGCTGTCTGGAGAAGCTACAAATACGTTTCTAAAATTACCGTGCAATAGAGGAACATTCTGCTTCATGGACAGGGATACCATTGATGGGTATCCTGGGTTTTACATCACTAATTGCGCATTTTGCAAGATGTTACGGTATCAACAAAGGTACAGCTGTATGTTTAGGCCCAAGAATCTCAACATGCTTAATGGGCTACTAGAAATACAGTAAGCGGTTCGCTGCTTGAAAATTGGTTCTCCAAACAAGGATTGCTAATTGAATATCTCTAAATCCATAGCTTCTTTTTTTTTTAGCTCATGACCTTGTGGTGCCACTTTCAAAACTAGTAGTCCTAACTAAATGCAAATGTGTTTTTAAAATTGTACTACTGCAATAAATCTTTGGGGTTTTTTTAAAGATTGCTTGGTTTGATTTTTACTGTTTTGATATTACTGTTATCATTGGAGCTATTACTGTCCAAGTTCATGGGTTTCAGTTGCAGAACACTGAAGGAAAAAAAATCCACATTTCATGCTAAAAATATCTAGTGTTTACATTATCAAGAACTTACCTAAAGAGATTCGTCATGAATCTTTTCACTGGTTACAATCCCAGACTGAGCCCTTCTTTCTTAATTTGTGATGCCTTTTAGCCATCCAGATGTAGCTAATTTTATAACTAAGATGAATATTGAAAGGAAGCCCATAAATGACGTTATCTGTAAATATTGGAATTAATAACTGACAGAAGCCTGTTATATTTGAATGTTTGGATCAAACCTTGGTTTAAATCAAACCTTTTTTAATAATTTCTTAGCAGTTCAAACACCACTACAACCTTGTTGTGGTGATGATAACCTGGCTTCTGTCAAGAGCTGTATTACGTAGCTAGTATGTTCTGAATACATAGAAGGGAAATTACACATTTAGCTGTAACATCACCAGAGGTTGGGGGATGAATTCACAGGATGGGAAGAGACTGGTAGGGGTGCCTTGGCATGCTTACTGGAACAGTGGCGACAAGGGTAGGTGTGCAACTGGTGAAGTAGCTGAAGCTCCAAACGACAGCTCTACTAGCCTCTTGCAGCCAGCAGCAGAGGCTCACTGACTTGTCTTTTTTTCATGGAGAATTTGCTTTCTTGTAGTGCTGCTGCGCTCACTTTTTTTTTTTTTTTTTATTAAACACTCATTTAGAAATCTTCAAATAATTCAGATGGGTGGGAAAACAAATACTTTCTGATCTATAGTTATATCTGGATGATTTATAACAAGTAAGTGCTTCTGACTCAGAAGTCTTTGGATTGAACTCAGTTTCTGATGATCACATTGATGTATTTTCTTACCAATAAAAGAGATAAGATTTATCACTGCCATTTTTAGGGATGTTTTTCAGCTTCCTTGTTACAGCTCCAAGATTCCCTAGGGGTTGCCTAGGTAAGCATTAAACTGACCTAACCCTACTTAGTGTCAAGCCAAGCAAGTTGTCCAGGTGCTGTATCATTCACTCAGATGTTTCTGCCAAAACACTGTTTGAAATCAGATGTAGGGTTGTCTGGCACTAAAAATAAATTCCAGCATGAACAAATACTGTGACCCATTAGTTTTGCAGCTGGCTCGAGTACCTTGTGTCTTGAACATAATGGGAACGGATAAAGACAGTCTATTCCTGCATGTTTGGCAGTGCCTAAGTGGAAGTACTGTCTCATGTTTCACAGTGTATATAATATCCATTGTGTATACAGATTACTTTGAAAGAATCCCATTTCAGTTAAATCTGAGAAGTCGTTTAGGTTTGATCCAATCACAGGGATGGGTCTTGTTAAATTCCTGTTTATTAATAGCCCTTAATAGTTAGGCAATGCTATTGATTTTTCAAGTTTCTCTGACTAAATCCTACAAGTTTCTCCAGATGAGGCTGGAAGCAGGACACCAGCCATCTTCATAGTGTATCAGAATAAGAGTTGGAAGGGGCCTTAAAGGTCTTCTAGTCCAACCCCTTGCTCAAGCAGGAGACCTTATACCTGTGATGGCAAACCTTTTCTGAACTGAGTGCCCAAAGCGCGTGAATGCGCATGTGCGTGGCCAAACCCCCAAAATGCAATGCGTGCGTGGCCCCCCCCGCATGTGCCCCACCCCCATGCGGGCCCCACACATGCATGCCAGAGACCTGGCAACCGGCAGGAGGCGCTTGCGCATGCACGCCAGAGCTGAACTAGGGCGACAGCTCGCGTGCCCACAGAAAGGGTGCTGTGTGCATCTGTGGCATGCGTGCCATAGGTTCACCATCACGGCCCTATACTATATTGGACAAATGGCTGCCCAATCTTTTTGAAAGCCTCCAATGATGGAGCACCCCCAACTTCTGAAGGTAAGCTGTTCCATTGATTTATTATTTTCATTGTCAGGTAGTTCTAGGTTGCTTCTCTCCTTGATTAGTTTCAATCCATTGCTTCTTGTCCTGCCTTCAGGTGCTTTGGAGAACCAGTTGATCCCCTCTTCTTTGTGGGAGTCCCTTAGAAATTGGAACACTGCTATCATGTCACCCCTAGCCCTTCTTTTCACTAGACATACCCAATTCATGCAACCATTCATACTTTAGCCTCAGTCCCTTAATCATCTTTGTTGCTCTTCTCTGCAACTTTCTAAAGTTTCAATATCTCTTTTACATAGTGGCGACCAAAACTGGATGCAGTATTCCAAGGGTGATCTTTACCAAGGCATTATAAAGTGGTACTAACACTTCACATGATCTTGATTCTATCCCTCTGTTAATACAACCTAGGACTATGTTAGCTTTTTTGGCAGCTGCATCACATTGCTGGCTCATACTTAAGTGATTGTGTACTAGGACTCCAAGATGCCTCTCGCAGGTACATGTGCATTTGGTTTTTCTTGCCTAAATGTAGAGCCTTTTTTCAACCATTGAATTTCATCTTGATAGGGCTCAGTGTTCAAGTCTGTGAAGATCCTAAACCTATCTTCTGAAATGCTTGCTATTCTTATCTAGCTAGCTATCTTATCTAGAATAGGCTATTCTTCATGACAAATTGAAAACCAAGTAGGTCCTTCTTCAAATAACTTTACAAGCTAAATATTACAAATGAGCCAAAACAGTCCTAGGCTGCATTAATAGAACGCTAGAATCAAGATTATATGAAGTGTTAATACTACTTTATAAGACCACTTGGAATACTGCATCCAGTTTTGATCGCTACGATATAAAGTTGTTGAGACTCTAGAAAGAGCATTGCAGGAATTGAGTATATTTAATGAAAAGGACTAGGGGTGACACAATAGTAGTGTTCCAATATCTAAGGGGCTGCCACAAAGAGGGAGTCAAGCTATTCTCCAAACCACCTGAAGGCAGGACAAGAAACAATGGATGGAACCTAATCAAGAAGAGAAGCAACCTAGAACTAAGGAGAAATTTCCTGGTAGTTAGAACAATTAATCAGTGGAACACCTTGCTCCAGAAGTTGCAAATGCTCCAACACTGGAAGTTTTAAAGAAGATATTGGATAACCATTTATCTGAAATGATATAGGGTTCCCTGCCTGAACAGGGGTTGGATTCCAAGTTCCCTTCCAACTCTGTTATTCTGTTATTTCCTAAGGGTAACCTGAGATTTGTGGTAGAAGTGAAACAGAGTTCCTAGTTCAAAACCTTACTCATACCTAAACATACATACTACAGATTGTATAGAGTCATCTTTATTCTAGCTTTATAATGAGGGATTCTGCAGTTCAGCAACTTCAAAATCCCTGTTCCAATGTTAGTAATTAAAGAAAATGGGATGGTAGGTATGGTAATATACATGGGAAATACCCATGAGTAGCTGCCTCAAGAGCTACCCAACTTAGGACAAAAAATGCTGAAGAAACTGCTTGTAGCTGGTCGCCCCTCTATCAAGTGCCTTCTTAGGATTGTTTTTAAGAGATTATTGTTCATTTTATGCAGATCTGATAAAAGCAACGTACCAAGAAAAAAGATGTTTACATAGAGAAAAACAACACAGAATCTTAAGATGGCCACCATATTGCTGGTAAAGTGTTCAGTGAAGAATTCTGATTGAGCTCCATTATATCAAATTTATATGGCTGCCCATCTCACAAGTGGTGGCTCTGGGTGGCACATAACAATGATGCTGTTTGGTGGCTATTTGTCCACTAGTTGTCCATTTTTAAGAAATATTTTCCCCAGTATGAATGCTGTTCCATTTTTTTAATAGGAAGTCCCCATCTACACCCCCCAAAACTGACGAAGCTAGTGTAAATTTTATGAATGATAAAGTTTGTAAAATATTAACTCTCCAACACTTGAAATATGTTTTCATCTGAAGCCGAGATCTGCAAGGGCACCAATGCCAAAAGAGGGTTTTGTTGTTAAAATGCAATAGGTGGTGTGTTGCCCTGATACAATATATTTCCCAGCTGTTGCAATCTCTGATTCGGCTCTTGGCTGCCAGATTGAACCCAACCCTTCAAAATAAAGTCTGGAAGCTTTCTCCAAAAAGCATGATACCAACCAATGTTTTCTTTACAAAACCTTAGAGCAGGGGTGTCCAACCTTGCTAAAACTTGTGGCTGGGGAATTCTGGGAGTTGAAGTCCACAAATCTTAAAGTTGACAAATCCCCTGCCTTACAGGAGATGGCAAGGTTCCTATTACCCTTTCAGATTAGAAATTATTGCCAAGATCCCTTAAGAACATAGTAATTTCACCTATATTTTCCTCTAACTGAAAATCTTCTCCCATTTTTTCCCAATATTTAAGCCAGCTGAGCTGTTGTCTCTTCTTAAGGGATTTCCACACTTGGTTTGTTTTCATAGCTGAAATTCTCAAATCACTTTGAACTTCTCCATTTTTCTGTGTGTGGCTTTCTTTATATGAAGCACAGTACTGAGAAATAAAACATTGCTTCCTATTTCTGAGTGTATTTCTCTTAAGAATAATATAAAAGATTTGCCTCAAATGTATGAACTGTAAAAACCATTTCAATCTTTCGTTTATATAGGTTTTTAAAAAAATTTTGTGTGTGTTAGTATCTTGAAAGTGTAATTTGCAGAGCATGTAACAATTCATGAAATTAACCAATCTTTCCAAAAAACATTATCGGGTTTCTCATTTTGCTTTTTTTTTTTTTTTTTACTTCTTAAAGGTGCCAAGTTCAAAAAACACTGCTTTAAAATATTGTAGTATCTCCATTTTATACCGCTACTAACTAGAAAATTAAACAATTCAATTAAGCAATTAAACCATTGCTCAGGATATAGGACAACATGTTGACTGATGTAGAATTCAGAGAGAGAGAGGAGGGAATTCTTCAAGCTAAGGATAAATCTATTCCTTGCTATCATTATTTGCTTTCATGACCTTCTTCGGATTTTTTAAAATTAGCTATTTTGTTCATGAATTTTCC